GAAGGAAAGGGACTGAGGTTGTTAGTAATGGTGGGAGTCAAAATCCAAAACATCTGAAGGGAAGACCCAAGTTGCCCCATACTTGCACTAAATGGCCGAATTCTAGTATTCCACATTTGGGACCAGACTCACACTGGACGTCGAGGAGGACAGCAGTGCTGGAGGCTTGTCCCGTGGCCAAGTCAATGGCGGAGCAGTTGAGTGGGCGCTCCAAGCGCCGAGGCCTGGCCGCGAAGTGTCCGTGTCCGCCTTCCTCGTAGGCCCCGCTGCCACTGCCCTCGCCCCCGGGGTCAGAGGTGTCGAGGAGGCCGGACCCTCCGCCCTTGAGGTACCAGGAGAGGGAGGGTGCTGCCGCCAAGCAGGAGAGGCCCGTGCCCTTTGAACCCGGGGCCTCTCCGCTGTCGCTGGGTTCCGCCGCACCTGCCAAGGAGAGCCACACACGGCAGCCAAGGTCAAGACCGCATGGAGCAGGACATCGTGGGGGATATATGGTGGGGGCTTTATATGGGGGGCTGTCCCACTCAGCAAAGGCTGGGTGGCCATTTGGCTAGAGGGCTTGGATGGGACTTTTCCTGCCTGGCCGACAGGTGGGGATCAGACTGGATGCCCTTTGTGGGGGTCCCTTTCAAATCTAGCGGAATTTGGACTGCCCTTCCCAGGAGGTTTCTAATCAGAGGTTGGATGGTCGTCTGCCAGGAAGGTTTTGGTGGTGCTTGTCCTGCCTGGCAGAAAGGAGGGGGTTGGACTGGATGGCCTTTTGGGGTTCCTTCCAAGTCTAGAACTCTGTAGTTCTATTACTACTACTACTAAGCAAAGTCTCGATGGCCATCTGTCAGGAGGGACTTGATGGCGCTTGCCCTGCCGGCAGAAAGAAGGAGGTTGGACTGGAAAGCTTTTGGGGCTCCCTTTCAAATCTAAAACTCTGTAGTTCTATTATTATTAGTAGTAGTATTATTACCACTATTACTAAGCAAGGGCTGGATGGCCATCTGTCGGGAGGGTTTTGGTGGTTCTTGTCCTGTCTGGCAGAAAGAAGGTGGTCAGACTAGATGGCCTTTGGGGCTCCCTTTCAAATCTCGGACTCTGTAGTTCTATTATTATTATTATTATTATTATTATTATTATTAATCAAGGGCTGGATGACCATCTGTCAGGAGGGATTTGATAGCACTTGTCCTGCCTGGCAGAAAGAAGGAGGCTGGACTGGATGGCCTTTGGGGGCTCCTTCCAAATCTAGGACTCTATAGTTCTATTATTATTATTATTATTATTATTATTATTATTATTATTATTATTGCTACTACTACAGAGCAAGGGCTGGATGGCCTTCTGTCAGGAGGGATTTGGTGTTGTTTTTCCTTCCTGGCAGAAACAAGGAGGTTGGACTGGATGGCCTTTGGGGGCTCCTTCCAAATCTGGGACTCTGTAGTTCTATTATTATTATTATTATTATTATTGGTACTATTACTAAGCAACGGCTGGATGGCCATCTGTCGAAAGGGATTTGGTGCTGCTTTTTCCTTCCTGGCAGAAACAAGGTCAGACTGGATGGCCTTTGGGGACTCCTTCCAAATCTAGGACTCTGTAGTTCTATTATTATTATTATTATTATTATTATTATTATTATTATTATTGCTACTACCACTAAACAAGGGCTGGATRGCCATCTGTCGGGAGGGTTTTGGTGTTGCTTTTCCTTCCTGGCAGACTGGATGGCCTTTGGGGTTCCCTTYCAAATCTAGGACTGTAGTTCTATTATTATTATTATTATTATTATTATTATTATTATTACTACTAAGCAAAGGCTGGATGGCCATCTGTCAGGAGGGATTTGGTGTTGCTTTTCCTTCCTGGCGGAAACAAGGAGTTCAGACTGGATGGCCTTTGGAGGCTCCTTCCAAATCTAGGACTTTGTAGTATTATTATTATTATTATTATTATTATTATTATTATTATTGCTACTACTACTAAGCAAGGGCTGGATGACCATCTGTCGGGAGGGATTTGGTGTTGTTTTTCCTTCCTGGCAGAAACAAGGAGCTTGGACTGGATAGCCTTTGGGGGCTTCTTCCAAATCTAGGACTCTGTAGTTGTATTATTATTATTACTACCAGTATTACCTGGATGGCCATCTGTCGGGCGGGTTTTGGTGGTTCTTGTCCTGCTTGGCAGAAAGCAGGGAGTTGGACTGGATGGTCTTTGGGGGTCCCTTCCAAGTCTACGACTCTGTAGTTCTATTACTACTACTACTACTACTACTAGCAAAGGCTGGATGGCCATCTGTCAGGAGGGATTTGGTGTTGCTTTTCCTTCCTGGCAGAAGCAAGGAGGTCAGACTGGATGGCCTTTGGGGGTCCCTTCCAAATCTAGGACTTCGTAGTATTATTATTATTATTATTATTATTATTATTATTATTATTGCTACTACTACTAAGCAAGGGCTGGATGACCATCTGTCGGGAGGGATTTGGTGTTGTTTTTCCTTCCTGGCAGAAACAAGGAGCTTGGACTGGATAGCCTTTGGGGGCTTCTTCCAAATCTAGGACTCTGTAGTTGTATTATTATTATTACTACCAGTATTACCTGGATGGCCATCTGTCGGGCGGGTTTTGGTGGTTCTTGTCCTGCTTGGCAGAAAGCAGGGAGTTGGACTGGATGGTCTTTGGGGGTCCCTTCCAAGTCTACGACTCTGTAGTTCTATTACTACTACTACTACTACTACTACTACTACTAGCAAAGGCTGGATGGCCATCTGTCAGGAGGGATTTGGTGTTGCTTTTCCTTCCTGGCAGAAGCAAGGAGGTCAGACTGGATGGCCTTTGGGGGTCCCTTCCAAATCTAGGACTTCGTAGTATTATTATTATTATTATTATTATTATTATTATTATTATTATTATTATTATTGCTACTTCTACTAAGCAAGGGCTGGATGGCCATCAGTCGGGAGGGTTTTGGTGGGGTGTTTGTCCTGCCTGGCAGAATGGATGTCCTTTGGGGTCCCCCTCCCTACCCCCCCCCCCCATCCCACCTTTACCTGGCGAGGCTGAGAGGAGCAGCATGGGGAGCAGAGGGAAGCCTGCCATCCTTCCTTCCTTGCTTTTTCCTCCTTCTTTTCCGGGAAATCAGCCTCCCGGGAAGGAGGCCATCCTCCTCCTCTTCCTTCCTTCCCTCCTTCCTCTGCAGCAATGCGTGCTTCTGGCTCCGCCCACAGGCCCTTAGCCCCGCCCACATATTTCCATATGTATACACAAGGCTTGGCCTAACTTGGACCCTCCCTCCCTCCCTCCCTCCAGGTGTTTGGACTTCAACACCCACAATTCCTAACAGCCAGTAGGCTGTTAAGAATTGTGAGAGTTGGAAGTCCCAAACACCTGGAGGGCCGAAGTTTGCCCATGTCTGGTCTATAGGAATCTCTAACTTTGATACTTTTGTCCCTATATATATTTTAGCCTATGTCCCAAATGCATGTCCAAGCTAGAGCTGGCAGATGGGAACTCACCCTGTCTCGTGGATTCAAATCGGTGACCTTCAGGTCAGCAGCCCAAGCTTTAGCACTCATGTCCAAGCTAGAGCTGACAGATGGGAACTCACCCTGTCTCGTGGATTCAAATCGGCGACCTTCAGGTCAGCAGCCCAAGCTTTAGCACTCATGTCCAAGCTAGAGCTGACAGATGGGAACTCACCCTGTCTCGTGGATTCAAATCGGTGACCTTCAGGTCAGCAGCCCAAGCTTTAGCACTCATGTCCAAGCTAGAGCTGACAGATGGGAACTCACCCTGTCTCGTGGATTCAAATCGGTGACCTTCAGGTCAGCAGCCCAAGCTTTAGCACTCATGTCCAAGCTAGAGCTGACAGATGGGAACTCACCCTGTCTCGTGGATTCAAATCGGTGACCTTCAGGTCAGCAGCCCAAGCTTTAGCACTCATGTCCAAGCTAGAGCTGACAGATGGGAACTCACCCTGTCTCGTGGATTCAAATCGGTGACCTTCAGGTCAGCAGCCCAAGCTTTAGCACTCATGTCCAAGCTAGAGCTGACAGATGGGAACTCACCCTGTCTCGTGGATTCAAATCGGTGACCTTCAGGTCAGCAGCCCAAGCTTTAGCACTCATGTCCAAGCTAGAGCTGGCAGATGGGAACTCACCCTGTCTCGTGGATTCAAATCGGTGACCTTCAGGTCAGCAGCCCAAGCTTTAGCACTCATGTCCAAGCTAGAGCTGACAGATGGGAACTCACCCTGTCTCGTGGATTCAAATCGGTGACCTTCAGGTCAGCAGCCCAAGCTTTAGCACTCATGTCCAAGCTAGAGCTGACAGATGGGAACTCACCCTGTCTCGTGGATTCAAATCGGTGACCTTCAGGTCAGCAGCCCAAGCTTTAGCACTCATGTCCAAGCTAGAGCTGACAGATGGGAACTCACCCTGTCTTGTGGATTCAAATCGGTGACCTTCAGGTCAGCAGCCCAAGCTTTAGCACTCATGTCCAAGCTAGAGCTGACAGATGGGAACTCACCCTGTCTCGTGGATTCAAATCGGTGACCTTCAGGTCAGCAGCCCAAGCTTTAGCACTCATGTCCAAGCTAGAGCTGACAGATGGGAACTCACCCTGTCTCGTGGATTCAAATCGGTGACCTTCAGGTCAGCAGCCCAAGCTTTAGCACTCATGTCCAAGCTAGAGCTGACAGATGGGAACTCACCCTGTCTCGTGGATTCAAATCGGCGACCTTCAGGTCAGCAGCCCAAGCTTTAGCACTCATGTCCAAGCTAGAGCTGACAGATGGGAACTCACCCTGTCTCGTGGATTCAAATCGGTGACCTTCAGGTCAGCAGCCCAAGCTTTAGCACTCATGTCCAAGCTAGAGCTGACAGATGGGAACTCACCCTGTCTCGTGGATTCAAATCGGTGACCTTCAGGTCAGCAGCCCAAGCTTTAGCACTCATGTCCAAGCTAGAGCTGACAGATGGGAACTCACCCTGTCTCGTGGATTCAAATCGGCGACCTTCAGGTCAGCAGCCCAAGCTTTAGCACTCATGTCCAAGCTAGAGCTGACAGATGGGAACTCACCCTGTCTCGTGGATTCAAATCGGCGACCTTCAGGTCAGCAGCCCAAGCTTTAGCACTCATGTCCAAGCTAGAGCTGACAGATGGGAACTCACCCTGTCTCGTGGATTCAAATCGGTGACCTTCAGGTCAGCAGCCCAAGCTTTAGCACTCATGTCCAAGCTAGAGCTGACAGATGGGAACTCACCCTGTCTCGTGGATTCAAATCGGTGACCTTCAGGTCAGCAGCCCAAGCTTTAGCACTCATGTCCAAGCTAGAGCTGACAGATGGGAACTCACCCTGTCTCATTGATTCAAATCTAGGATTCATGTCCAAACTAGAGCTGACAGGCAGGAGCTCAACCCATCTTGTGGATTTGAATCAGCAACCTTCAGGTCAGCAGCCCAAGTTTCAGCTCTCATGTCCAAGCTAGAGCTGACCGGCAGGAGCTAACCCCGTCTCATGGATTTGTATCAGCAACCTTCAGGTCAGCAGCCCAAGATTCAGCTCTCATGTCCAAGCTAAAGCTGACAGATGGGAACTCACCCTGTCTTGTGGATTTGAATCAGTGACCTTCAGGTCAGCAGCCCAAGCTTCACCTCTCATGTCCAACCAAGCTAGAGCTGACAAATGGGAGCTCACCCTGTCTTGTGGATTTGAATTGGCGACCTTCAGGTCAGTAACCCAAGCTTCACCTCTCATGTCCACGCAAGCTAGAGCTGACAGATGGGAGCTCACATCAGCTTGTGGATTTGAATCGGCGACCTTCAGGTCAGCAGCCCAAGCTTTAGCACTCATGTCCAAGCTAGAGCTGACAGATGGGAGCTCACCCTGTCTCGTGGATTTTAATCAGCAAACCTTCAGGTCAGCAACCCAACTTTCACTTTTCCTGTCCACACAAGCTAGAGCTGACAGACAGGAGCTCACCCCATCTCGTGGATTCGAATCGCCAACCTTCAGGTCAGCAACCTAAGCTTCACCTCTCATGTCCACGCAATTAGACCTGACAGATGGGAGCTCACCCTGTCTCGTGGGTTCAAATTGGCAACCTTCAGGTCAGCAGTTCAGCCGGATTTAACCCATTGCGCCACCATGGCTCAATATAATGTATGTCCCTATATATTATAGGAATAGCCTTTGCTGATGTACCAGTCTCCCTATACATTATTGGAGTGCCCTTGGCTTATGTGTCAATGTCCCTAAATATTGGAATGCCCTTTGCCTATGAGCCAATGGCCCCATACCTTATAGGAGTAGCCTGTGCCTATGTGCCAATGCATTAATTTCCATGTGCACTCCTGCCAATGGGCACATATATATTTGGAGTGCCCTTGGCCTATGTGCCAGTCTCCCTATACATTATTTTAGTGCCATTGGCCTATGTGCCAGTGTCCCTAGATATTGGAATGGCCTTTGCCTATGTGCCAATGTCCCTATATATTATAGGAGTAGCCTGCGCCTATGTGCCAATGGCCCATACGTTATAGGAATTGCCTATGTGCCAATGCATGAATTTCCATTCTTATAGGATTGACTTCTGCCAATGTCCACATATATATTTGGAGTGGTCGTTGCCTATGTGCCATTGTCCCTATATATTATTGGACTGACTTCTGCTGACGTGTCAATGTTCCTATACATTATTGGAGTGCCCTTTCCCTACTTGCTAGTGTCCCTATATATTATAGGAGTAGGCTTTGCTTACGTGCCAATGGCCCCATACATTATTTTAGTGCCATTGGCCTATGTGCCAGTGTCCCTAGATATTGGAATGGCCTTTGCCTATGTGCCAATGTCCCTATATATTATAGGAGTAGCCTGTGCCTATGTGCCAATGGCCCATACGTTATTGGAGTTGCTTTGGCCTATGTGCCAATGCATGAATTTCCATGTGCACTATAGGATTGACTCCTGCCAATGGGCACATATATATTTGGAGTGGTCTTTGCCTATGTGCCATTGTCCATATATATTATTGGACTGACTTCTGCTGATGTGCCAATGTCCCTATACATTATTGGAGTGCCCTTTCCCTACGTACCAATGTCCCTATATATTATTGGAATTGCCTTGGCCTATGTGCTAATGGCCCATATGTTATTGGAGTTGCCTATGTGCCAATGCATGAATTTCCATGTGCACTATAGGATTGACTCCTGCCAATGTCCACATATATTACTGGAGTAGTCTTTGCCTATGTGCCAGTGTCCTTATACATTATAGGAGTGCCCTTGGCCTATGTGCCAATGTCCCTTTATATTATAGGAGTAGCCTGCGCCTATGTGCCAATGGCTCCATACATTATTGGAGTTGCCTTTGCTTACGTGCCAATGAATGAATTTCCATGTGCACTATAAGATTTGACTCCTGCCAATGTCCACATATATATTTGGTCGTTGCTTATGTGCCATTGTTCCTATATATTGGACTGACTTCTGCTGATGTGGCAGTGGCCACATACATTATTGGACTTGCCTTGGCCTATGTGCCAATGGCCCCATGCATTTTTGGAGTGCCCTGTGCCTATGTGACAATGGTCACATACATTATTGGACTTGCCTTGGCCTATGTGCCAATGGCACCATACATTTTTGGAGTGCCCTGTGCCTATGTGCCAATGGCCACATACATTATTGGACTTGCCTTGGCCTATGTGCCAATGGCCACATACATTTTTGGAGTGCCCTGTGCCTATGTGCCAATGGCCCCATACATTTTTGGAGTGCCCTGTGCCTATGTGCCAATGGCCACATACATTTTTGGAGTGCCCTGTGCCTATGTGCCAATGGCCCCATACATTTTTGGAGTGCCCTGTGCCTATGTGCCAATGGCCACATACATTATTGGACTTGCCTTGGCCTATGTGCCAATGGCCCCATACATTTTTGGAGTGCCCTGTGCCTATGTGCCAATGGCCACATACATTATTGGACTTGCCTGTGCCTATGTGCCAATGGCCACATACATTTTTGGAGTGCCCTGTGCCTATGTGCCAATGGCCCCATACATTTTTGGAGTGCCCTGTGCCTATGTGCCAATGGCCACATACATTATTGGACTTGCCTTGGCCTATGTGCCAATGGCCCCATACATTTTTGGAGTGCCCTGTGCCTATGTGCCAATGGCCACATACATTATTGGACTTGCCTTGGCCTATGTGCCAATGGCCCCATACATTTTTGGAGTGCCCTGTGCCTATGTGCCAATGGCCCCATACATTTTTGGAGTGCCCTGTGCCTATGTGCCAATGGCCCCATACATTTTTGGAGTGCCCTGTGCCTATGTGCCAATGGCCCCATACATTTTTGGAGTGCCCTGTGCCTATGTGCCAATGGCCACATACATTATTGGACTTGCCCTGTGCCTATGTGCCAATGGCCCCATACATTTTTGGAGTGCCCTGTGCCTATGTGCCAATGGCCACATACATTATTGGACTTGCCTTGGCCTATGTGCCAATGGCCCCATACATTTTTGGAGTGCCCTGTGCCTATGTGCCAATGGCCCCATACATTTTTGGAGTGCCCTGTGCCTATGTGCCAATGGCCACATACATTTTTGGAGTGCCCTGTGCCTATGTGCCAATGGCCACATACATTATTGGACTTGCCTTGGCCTATGTGCCAATGGCCCCATACATTTTTGGAGTGCCCTGTGCCTATGTGCCAATGGCCCCATACATTATTGGACTTGCCTTGCCTATGTGCCAATGGCCCCATACATTTTTGGAGTGCCCTGTGCCTATGTGCCAATGGCCACATACATTTTTGGAGTGCCCTGTGCCTATGTGCCAATGGCCACATACATTTTTGGAGTGCCCTGTGCCTATGTGCCAATGGCCCCATACATTTTTGGAGTGCCCTGTGCCTATGTGCCAATGGCCCCATACATTTTTGGAGTGCCCTGTGCCTATGTGCCAATGGCCCCATACATTTTTGGAGTGCCCTGTGCCTATGTGCCAATGGCCACATACATTATTGGACTTGCCTTGGCCTATGTGCCAATGGCCCCATACATTTTTGGAGTGCCCTGTGCCTATGTGCCAATGGCCACATACATTTTTGGAGTGCCCTGTGCCTATGTGCCAATGGCCACATACATTATTGGACTTGCCTTGGCCTATGTGCCAATGGCCCCATACATTTTTGGAGTGCCCTGTGCCTATGTGCCAATGGCCACATACATTATTGGACTTGCCTTGGCCTATGTGCCAATGGCCCCATACATTTTTGGAGTGCCCTGTGCCTATGTGCCAATGGCCACATACATTATTGGACTTGCCTTGGCCTATGTGCCAATGGCCCCATACATTTTTGGAGTGCCCTGTGCCTATGTGCCAATGGCCACATACATTTTTGGAGTGCCCTGTGCCTATGTGCCAATGGCCACATACATTTTTGGAGTGCCCTGTGCCTATGTGCCAATGGCCCCATACATTTTTGGAGTGCCCTGTGCCTATGTGCCAATGGCCACATACATTTTTGGAGTGCCCTGTGCCTATGTGCCAATGGCCCCATACATTTTTGGAGTGCCCTGTGCCTATGTGCCAATGGCCACATACATTATTGGACTTGCCTTGGCCTATGTGCCAATGGCCACATACATTTTTGGAGTGCCCTGTGCCTATGTGCCAATGGCCACATACATTTTTGGAGTGCCCTGTGCCTATGTGCCAATGGCCACATACATTATTGGACTTGCCTTGGCCTATGTGCCAATGGCCCCATACATTTTTGGAGTGCCCTGTGCCTATGTGCCAATGGCCACATACATTTTTGGAGTGCCCTGTGCCTATGTGCCAATGGCCCCATACATTTTTGGAGTGCCCTGTGCCTATGTGCCAATGGCCACATACATTATTGGACTTGCCTTGGCCTATGTGCCAATGGCCCCATACATTTTTGGAGTGCCCTGTGCCTATGTGCCAATGGCCCCATACATTTTTGGAGTGCCCTGTGCCTATGTGCCAATGGCCACATACATTTTTGGAGTGCCCTGTGCCTATGTGCCAGTGGCCACATACATTATTGGACTTGCCTTGGCCTATGTGCCAATGGCCCCATACATTTTTGGAGTGCCCTGTGCCTATGTGCCAATGGCCCCATACATTATTGGACTTGCCTTGGCCTATGTGCCAATGGCCCCATACATTTTTGGAGTGCCCTGTGCCTATGTGCCAATGGCCACATACATTATTGGACTTGCCTTGGCCTATGTGCCAATGGCCCCATACATTTTTGGAGTGCCCTGTGCCTATGTGCCAATGGCCCCATACATTATTGGACTTGCCTTGGCCTATGTGCCAATGGCCCCATACATTTTTGGAGTGCCCTGTGCCTATGTGCTAATGGCCCCATACATTATTGGACTTGCCCTGTGCCTATGTGCCAATGGCCCCATACATTTTTGGAGTGCCCTGTGCCTATGTGCCAATGGCCACATACATTATTGGACTTGCCTTGGCCTATGTGCCAATGGCCCCATACATTTTTGGAGTGCCCTGTGCCTATGTGCCAATGGCCCCATACATTATTGGACTTGCCCTGTGCCTATGTGCCAATGGCCCCATACATTTTTGGAGTGCCCTGTGCCTATGTGCCAATGGCCACATACATTATTGGACTTGCCTTGGCCTATGTGCCAATGGCCCCATACATTTTTGGAGTGCCCTGTGCCTATGTGCCAATGGCCACATACATTATTGGACTTGCCTTGGCCTATGTGCCAATGGCCCCATACATTTTTGGAGTGCCCTGTGCCTATGTGCCAATGGCCACATACATTATTGGACTTGCCTTTGCCTATGTGCCAATGGCCCCATACATTTTTGGAGTGCCCTGTGCCTATGTGCCAATGGCCACATACATTATTGGACTTGCCCTTGGCCTATGTGCCAATGGCCCCATACATTTTTGGAGTGCCCTGTGCCTATGTGCCAATGGCCCCATACATTTTTGGACCTGCCTTGGCCTATGTGCCAATGCATGAATTTCCATGTGCACTTTAGGATTGACTCCTGCCAATGTCCATATATATTTGGAGTGGTCGTTGCCTATGTGTTAGTGTCCCTATACATGATTGGAGTGCCCTTGGCCTATGTGCCAGTGACCCCGACTCTCACTTGTGGGACCCCCCCCCCCCAAATATAAACAAGGAAAGAGGGTCTGTCATTGTCGCACACAGCAGTCAACCAAGGACGTGGTGGAGACCTCTGTTTATTCAAGGCAGGTGCCATTGGGGAGGGGTCCTTCTCCCCCCGGGGCCCCCCCCTCCACCCCTGGGGGTCCGAGGGGCCCCTGCAGCTGCTTCATGACCTCGGAGAGCATCTGGTTACAGAGGGCGGCGTAGGGGTTCATGCGCACCAGCTGCTGCCGGGCAAAGGGGCTCCCCAGGCGGGACGCCTCCGCAAAGTCGCCGCGCGCCGCCTCCTCCTGCCCGCGCAAGAGCCGGATCATGCCCCGCTGCACGAAGCTCTGCCGCGCCACCGGGCCCCTCCCTCGGCTCAGGCTCAGCGCCGTGTCCAGGTCTCGCAGGGCACCTGGAGGGGAGGAGAGAGACCCCGTGAGTGTGGGGCTTTAAGGGATTTTAATGTTTTTGTTTGGGGAGCAGGGTGAGCTCCTGCTGTTAGCCCCAGCTCCTGCCAACCTAGCAGTTCGAAAACATGCAAATGTGAGTAGATCAATAGGTACCGCTCCGGCGGGAAAGTAACAGCGCTCCATGCTGTCATGCCAGTGGCCACATGACCTTGGAGGTGTCTACGGACAACGCCGGCTCTTCAGCTTAGACATGGAGATGAGCACCAGAGTCCCAGAGTCGGATGCGCACGGGAAAACCTTTACCGAATACACAGCATTGTATTGTTGACTTTGTATAGCCACCCTGAGTCCCCTTCGGGGTTTCCCCTTGACGTTAAGTGTTAGTCCTGTCCAACTCTGGGTGTTGGTGCTCATCTCCATTTCTAAACTGAAGAGCCGGTGTTGTCCACAGACACCTCCAAGGTTTTGTGGCCAGTATGACTGCACAGGACACTGTTTACCTTCTCACTGAATCAGTATCTATTTATCTACTCACATTTGCATGTTTTCGAACTGCTTAGTTGGCAGGAGCTGGGGCTAACAGTGGGAACTCACCCCACTCCCTGGATTTCAACTGCTGACCTTTTGGTCAGCAAGCAGAGGCTGGATGGCCATCTGCTGGGGGTGCTTTGAATGTGATTTTCCTGCTTCTTAGCAGAATGGGGTTGGACAGTATGGCCCACAAAGTCTCTTGCAACTCTAGGATTCTAAGTTCAGCAGCTCAGCGGTTTAACCTGCTGCGCTACTGGGAGCTCCAGCAGGATATAAATGTGGTAAACAAATAAATAAATAGTCGGGTTGTTGTAGGTTTTTTCATGCTATATGGCCATGTTCTAGAAGCATTCTCTCCTGACGTTTTGCCTGCTTCTATGGCAAGCATCCTCAGAGGTTGTGAGGTCACAACCTCTGAGGATGCTTGCCATAAATGCAGGCGAAACGTCAGGAGAGAATGCTTCTAGAATATGGCCATATAGCCCAAAAATGAGGATGCTTGCCATAGAGACAGGCAAAACGTCAGGAGAGAATGCTTCTGGAACATGGCCATATAGCCCGAAAATTAGGATGCTTTGCCATAGAGACAGGCAAAACGTCAGGAGAGAATGCTTCTGGAACATGGCCATATAGCCCGAAAATTAGGATGTTGGCCATAGAGACAGGCAAAACGTCAGGAGAGAATGCTTCTAGAACATGGCCATATAGCCCAAAAATGAGGATGCTTGCCATAGAGACAGGCAAAACGTCAGGAGAGAATGCTTCTGGAACATGGCCATATAGCCCGAAAATTAGGATGTTGGCCATAGATGCAGGCAAAACGTCAGGAGAGAATGCTTCTAGAACATGGCCATATAGCATGAAAAAACCTACAACCTCTGAGGATGCTTGCCATAGATGCAGGCGAAGCGTCAGGAGAGAATGCTTCTAGAACATGGCCATATAGCCCAAAATGAGGATGCTTGCCATAGATGCAGGCGAAACGTCAGGAGAGAATGCTTCTGGAACATGGCCATATAACCCGAAAATTAGGATGCTGGCCATAGATGCAGGCGAAACGTCAGGAGAGAATGCTTCCAGAACATAGCCAGACAGTCCGGAAAACCCACACCAACCCAAAGAAGGGGAGGATGGCGAAGGCGGAGGGGCAATGCATAGGGCAGCCCTTGCAGGCTGTATCAAGTGACCTATGGGGCGGTCAGCTTACCCTCGGTGTCGCCCTTGAGCCGCAGAGCCTGGGCCCGGTTGTTGTAGGCGGAGGCTCGTTCGGGGAGCAGCAGAATGGCTTCTCTGAAGGCTTCCAAGGCCGCCTCCAGGTCTCCAGCTTCTGCCCAAGCCACGCCTTGGACCTCCCGGTCAGTGGCCTGCTTCAGAAGGTCAGCGTCGAAGGCGCCTTCTGCTGACCCAAGAGAGAAGAAAAGCTTGACCAAGGAGCCCCAGAGCTGAGCAGAAGGGATCCATCTGGATGGCCATCTGTCAGGGGTGCTTTGAATGCAATTTTCCTGCTCCTTGACAGAATGGGGTTGGACTGGATGGCCTATGAGGTCTCTTCCAACTCTGATTCTATGACAGGTCAGAGGTTCGAATCTGGAGAGAGCATGGAGGAGCTCCCTCTGTCAGCTCCAGCTCCCCATGCGGGAACAGGAGGGAAGCCTCCCACAAGGATTGGTAAAACATCAAAACATCCAGGTAACAACAGGGTTGGACTGGATGGCCCACTGGATCTTCCAACTCTATGATACTCGATAGGTCGGAGGTTCGAATCTGGAGAGAGCATGGAGGAGCTCCCTCTGTCAGCTCCAGCTCCCCATGCAGGAACAGGAGGGAAGCCTCCCACAAGGATTGGTAAAACATCAAAACATCCAGGTAACAACAGGGTTGGACTGGATGGCCCGCTGAGCTGAGCAGAAGGGATCCAGAACCAGGTCCTGCAGAATGTCCCAAACCACAGCACCCTTCTTTTGGCCAGAGCAAGAGGCCTTCCTTTCTTCTCCCCGTTCCCTCGTGCCATGGCTCTGCTCCGTCTCCCTACTCTATGTGGGGCTGTCCTTGAAGACTGTTCGGAAACTCCAACTAGCCCAGCGGGAGGTAGCCAGATTGCTCACCGGAGCGTCATACAGGGAGCACACCACTCCTCTGCTACGTCAGCTCCACTGGCTGCCGAGTAGGGTTGGGGAAGGATTGATTTTGTAATTTGGGAGATGTAGTTGCTGGGATTTATAGTTCAGCTACAATCAAAGAGCATTCTGAACTCCACCAGCGATGATTTTGAACCTAATTTGCCGCACAGAACTGCCATGACCAACGGAAAACATTGGAAGGGTTTGGTGGGCATTGACCTTGAGTTTGGGAGTTGTAGTTCATCTATATCCAGAGAGCACTGTGGACTCACACAATGGTGGATCTGGACCAAACTTGGCACAAATACTCAATATGTGCAAATGTGAACACTGGTGGAGTCTGGAGAAAATAGACCTTGACTTTTGGGAGTTGTAGTTGCTGGGATTTATAGTTCACTACAATCAAAGAACATTCTGAACTCCACCAACAATAGAATTGGCTCAAATTTCCCACATGGAATCCCCATGACCTTCAGAAAATACTGTGTTTTCTGATGGTCTTTGGCGACCCCTCCGACAACCCTTCACGACCCCCTCAGGGGTCCTGACCCCCAAGTTGAGAAACACTGCCCTATACGGTTCCGGCCCAGCGTATCTCTCCGAACGCATCTCCCTCTACGTCCCACCTCGGAGCTTAAGATCTTCTGGGGAGGCCCTGCTCTCGACCCCGCCTCTATCACAAGTGAGGTTGGCGGGGATGAGGAGCAGGGCCTTCTCGGTGGCGGCCCACCGTCTCTGGAATTCACTCCCCAGGGAAATTAGATCGGCAACTTCCCTTTTTTCATTTAGGAAAAAACTGAAGACCTTTATGTGGGACCGGGCTTTTGGACATCCTGGCAGCTAAAGAAAGATCTGATGATGAGCGGGAATGGACGAAACGGAACGGATTTACGGAACTCTGAATGCTGAGCTTAGGATTAGTTTACTATTATGTTATTGTATTGTTTGTACTGATGGTTTTAATTTGTCAACTGTTTTAAGTGCTTTTATGTATGTATGCATATGTGATATAGGCATCGAATTGTGCCTTCCGTTGTAAGCCGCCCTGAGTCCCCCCCGGGGGTGAGAAGGGCGGGGTAGAAGTACACGAAATAAATAAATAAATAAATAAATAAATACTCACCTTCCTCGGTGGCCTCGGTCTCCTCGTCCTCGGACTCCTCGTCGAAGGGGGTGTTGGGGTGGAGGATGCTCTGCAGGACGGCTCTGTCCTTGGCGCTGGCCATGGCAGAGTCCCAGGTGAAAACAGGTAGGAAGGAACTTTGGCAAACAAAGGGAGGAAGCCACCCCCGGAAGCAGCCAATGACAGCAGGAGACAAGGACCTGCCCCACGGAAGAGGAGGAGGACTCCCTTGGGCTGTCACATCCCGTGGCCACCCTGCACCCACTTTGCAGGCTCCGAGGGCCAGACTTTGGACCCTCCTCACCTCTCCAAAAAGTGGGGAAGAAGAGCCTTCCCTTTTGGAAGCCCACGCAGGGACACAGGGATGGATTTTTTTTTATTGTCGAAGGCTTTCATGGCTGGAATCACTAGGTTCTTGTGGGTTTTTTCGGGCTATAGGGCCATGTTCTAGAGGCATTCTCTCCTGACGTTTCGCCTCAATCTATGGCAAGCATCCATGGCAAGCATCCTCAGAGGGAGTGAGGTCTGTTGGAAGTAGGAAAAATGGGTTGATATATCTGTGGAAGGACTAGGGTGGGACAAAGGACTCTTGTCTGCTGGAGTTAGGTGTGAATATGTATTGTCGAAGGCTTTCATGGCTGGAATCACTAGGTTCTTGTGGGTTTTTTCGGGCTATAGGGCCATGTTCTAGAGGCATTTCTCCTGACGTTTCGCCTCATCTATGGCAAGCATCCATGGCAAGCATCCTCAGAGGGAGTGAGGTCTGTTGGAAGTAGGAAAAATGGGTTGATATATCTGTGGAAGGACTAGGGTGGGACAAAGGACTCTTGTCTGCTGGAGTTAGGTGTGAATATGTATTGTCGAAGGCTTTCATGGCTGGAATCACTGGGTTGTTGTAGGTTTTTTTCGGGCTATATGGCCATGTTCTAGAGGCATTCTCTCCTGACGTTTCGCCTGCATCTATGGCAAGCATCCTCAGAGGTAGTGAGGTCTGTTGGAACTAGGAAAATGGGTTTATATATCTGTGGAATGACCAGGGTGGGACAAAGGACTCTTGTCTGCTGGAGTTAGGTGTGAATATGTATTGTCGAAGGCTTTCATGGCTGGAATCACTAGGTTCTTGTGGGTTTTTTCGGGCTATAGGGCCATGTTCTAGAGGCATTCTCTCCTGACGTTTCGCCTCAATCTATGGCAAGCATCCATGGCAAGCATCCTCAGAGGGAGTGAGGTCTGTTGGAAGTAGGAAAAATGGGTTGATATATCTGTGGAAGGACTAGGGTGGGACAAAGGACTCTTGTCTGCTGGAGTTAGGTGTGAATATGTATTGTCGAAGGCTTTCATGGCTGGAATCACTAGGTTCTTGTGGGTTTTTTCGGGCTATAGGGCCATGTTCTAGAGGCATTCTCTCCTGACGTTTCACCTGCATCTATGGCAAGCATCCTCAGAGGGAGTGAGGTCTGTTGGAACTAGGAAAAAGGGTTTATATATCTGTGGAATGACCTGGGTGGGACAAAGGACTCTTGTCTGCTGGAGTTAGGTGTGGATATGTATTGTCGAAGGCTTTCATGGCTGGAATCACTAGGTTCTTGTGGGTTTTTTTCGGGCTATAGGGCCATGTTCTAGAGGCATTCTCTCCTGAGGTTTCGCCTGCATCTATGGCAAGCATCCTCAGAGGTAGTGAGGTCTGTTGGAAATAGGACAATGGGTTTATATATAGCTGTGGAATGGCCGGGGTGTGGCAAAGAGCTCTTCTCTGCTGGAGCTAGGTGTGAATGTTTCAACTGACCACCTTCATTAGCATTTGAAAGCCTGGCTGAGCCTGGGGAAATCTTTTGTTGAGAGGTGTGATGAGGAAACACAACATACAAACAATCTACAAACCAAACCAAGAAAATCCAACAACTGCTTCGTTCACCAAAGGACAAGAGGGATCCTCTCACTTCTGCAGGAGTCTACCATGTACCATGCAGCTGTGGACAAGTCTACATAGGGACCACCAAACACAGCAGACATGCCCAAACACGAATCACGGAACATGGAAGGCACTACAGACTACTCCAACCAGAGAAGTCAGCCTTAGTAGAGTACCTGATGAACCAGCCTGGACACAGCATAGTATTTGAGAACACAGAAATGCTGGACCACACCAACAACCACCATGTCAGACTACACAGAGAAGCCATTGAAATCCACAAGAAGCATGTGGACAATTTCAACAGAAAGGAGGAAACCATGAAAATGAACAAAATCTGGCTACCGGTATTAAAAAAACTCTAAAATTACTACAGCAAAACAGAGGAAACAACCAGGCACAGCTTAACACCTCTCAACAAAAAATTATCCCAGGCTCAGCCAGGCCTTCAAATGCTAATGAAGGTGGTCAGTTGAAACATTCACACCTAGCTCCAGCAGGGAAGAGCTCCTTGCCCCACCCCAGCCATTCCACAGATATATAAACCCATTGTCCTAGTTCCAACAGACCTCACTACCTCTGAGGATGCTTGCCATAGATGCAGGCGAAACGTCAGGAGAAAATGCCTCTAGAACATGGCCATATAGCACGAAAAAACCCACAAGAACCTGATGGATTTTTTTTTTGTCATGTCAGGAGCGACTCGAGAAACTGCAAGTCGCTTCTGGTGTGAGAGAATTGGCCGTCTGCAAGGACGTTGCCCAGGGGACACCTAGATGATTTTGATATTTTTATCATCCTTGTGGAAGGCTTCTCTCGTGTCCCCGCATGAGGAGCTGGAGCTGATAGAGGAAGCTCATCCGCCTCTCCCCGGATTCAAACCTGCGACCTGCCGGCGCAGGGGTTTAACTCACTGCGCCACTGGGGTCTCCACAGGGATGGATTACCTTGTGCCACGTTTTCAGGTGGCGCAATGACTCAATCCCTTCTGCCAGCAGGACTGAAGACCGACAGAGGCTGGATGGCCATCTGTCAGGGGTGCTTTGAATGCAATTTTCCTGCTTCTTGGCAGGAGGTTGGATTGGATGGCTCACTGGATGGCTCTTCCAACTCTATGATTCTATGATATGTCGGAGGTTCGAATCTGGAGAGAGCATGGAGGAGCTCCTTCTGTCTGCTCCAGCTCCCCATGCGGGAACAGGAGGGAAGCCTCCCACAAGGATTGGTAAAACATCATCCAGGTAACAACAGGGTTGGACTGGACGGCCCACTGAATGGCTCTTCCAACTCTATGACAGGTCGGAGGTTCGAATCTGGAGAGAGCATGGAGGAGCTCCCTCTGTCAGCTCCAGCTCCCCATGCAGGAACAGGAGAGAAGCCTCCCATAACAATTGGTAAAACATCAAAACATCCAGGTAACAACAGGGTTGGACTGGATGGCCCACTGGATGGCTCTTCCAACTCTGATTCTGATAGGTCAGAGGTTCGAATCTGGAGAGAGCATGGAGGAGCTCCCTCTGTCAGCTTCAGCTCCCCATGTGGGAACAGGAGGGAAGCCTCCCACAAGGATTGGTAAAACATCAAAACATCCAGGTAACAACAGGGTTGGACTGGATGGCCCACTGGATGGATCTTCCAACTATCATTCTATGACAGGTCGGAGGTTCGAATCTGGAGAGAGCATGGAGGAGCTCCTTCTGTCAGCTCCAGCTCCCCATGCGGGGACATGAGAAACGCCTCCCACAAGATTGGTAAAATATCAAAACATCCAAGTAACAACATCCTTGCAGATGGCCAATTCTCTCACACCAGAAGCGACTTGTAGTTTCTTGAGTCGCTCCTGACATGGAAAAAATGATTTCAGATGCTTCCTACACCCCCAAAATCTACCTTTTTTGAAAGCATCTGTGGCTGTTATCTCTTGAAGATGCAGATGAAACGTCAGGAGAAAATACTGCTAGGACACAGCAATATAGCCCAGAAATCACACAACACCCCAGTGATTCTGGCCGTGAAAATCATCTTGCAATTCAGCTCTGCACAGAAGGACCTCTTTTGACCCATTTTGAGGGTGGAAACCAGTGCTTCTAAAGCAGGCCCTCCAGGTGTTTTGGACTCCAACTCCCACCATTTCCAACGGCTTCAGGCCCCTTCCTTTCCCCTCCCAGCTGCTTAAACAGGCCAAGGGGGAACAGGAAAGGGACGAAGGCTGCTGAGAGAAAAAGGAAAGGATCTAAGGCTGCTTTAGGGGGAAAGGAAAGAGACCAAGGCTGCTGAGGGAAAAAAGCAAAGGGACCGAGGCTGCTGAGGGAGGAAAGGGACTGAGGCTGCCGAGAGAGGAAAGGAAAAAGACTGAGGCTGCCGGGGACGAAAAGGAAAGGGACTGAGGCTGCCGAGGGGGGAAAAGGAAAGGGACTGAGGCTGTTGAGGGGGGAAAGGAAAGGGACTGAGGCTGCTGAGGGGAAAAGGAAAGGGACTGAGGCTGCTGAGGGGGAAAAGGAAAGGGACGAAGGCTGCCGAGGGGGAAAAAGGAAAGGGACTGAGGCTGCAGAGGTGAAAAAAGGGACTGAGGCTGCTGAGGGGGGAAAGGAACTGAGGCTGCCGAGGAGGGAAAGGAAAGGGACTGAGGCTGCCGAGGGGGGGAAAGGAAAAGGACTGAGGCTGCCAAGGGGGGAAAGGAAAGGAACTGAGGCTGCCGAGGGGAAAAGGAAAGGGACTGAGGCTGCCGAGGGGGGAAAGGAAAGGGACTGAGGCTGCCGAGGAGGGAAAGGAAAGGGACTGAGGCTGCCGAGGGGGGAAAGGAAAGGGACTGAGGCTGCCGAGGGGGAAAAGGAAAGGGACTGAGGCTGCCGAGGGGGGAAAGGAAAGGGACTGAGGCTGCCGAGGGGGGAAAGGAAAGGGACTGAGGCTGCCGAGGGGGGAAAGGAAAGGGACTGAGGCTGCCGAGGGGGAAAGGAAAGGGACTGAGGCTGTCGAGGAGGGAAAGGAAAGGGACTGAGGCTGCCGAGGAGGGAAAGGAAAGGGACTGAGGCTGCCGAGGGGATAAAGGAAAGGGACTGAGGCTGCCGAGGGGAGAAAGGAAAGAGACTGAAACTGCCGAGGGAGAAAAGGAAAGGGACTGAGGCTGCCGAGGGGGGAAAGAGACTGAGGCTGTCGAGGAGGAAAGGAAAGGGACTGAGGCTGCCGAGGGGGGGAAAGGAAAAGGACTGAGGCTGCCAAGGGGGGAAAGGAAAGGAACTGAGGCTGCCGAGGGGGAAAAGGAAAGGGACTGAGGCTGCCGAGGGGGGAAAGGCAAAGGACTGAGGCTGCCGAGGAGGGAAAGGAAAGGGACTGAGGCTGCCGAGGGGGGAAAGGAAAGGGACTGAGGCTGCCGAGGGGGAAAAGGAAAGGGACTGAGGCTGCCGAGGGGGGAAAGGAAAGGGAATGAGGCTGCCGAGGGGGAAAAGGAAAGGGACTGAGGCTGCCGAGGGGGGAAAGGAAAGGGACTGAGGCTGCCGAGGGGAAAGGAAAGGGACTGAGGCTGCCGAGGGGGGAAAGGAAAGGGACTGAGGCTGCCGAGGGGGAAAAGGAAAGGGACTGAGGCTGCCGAGGGGGAAAAGGAAAGGGACTGAGGCTGCCGAGGGGGGAAAGGAAAGGGACTGAGGCTGCCGAGGGGGAAAAGGAAAGGGAATGAGGCTGCCGAGGGGGAAAAGGAAAGGGACTGAGGCTGCCGAGGGGGGAAAAGGAAAGGGACTGAGGCTGCCGAGGGGGGAAAGGAAAGGGACTGAGGCTGCCGAGGGAAAAAAAGGGACTGAGGCTGCTGAGGGGGGAAAGGAACTGAGGCTGCCGAGGAGGGAAAGGAAAGGGACTGAGGCTGCCGAGGGGGGAAAGGAAAGGGACTGAGGCTGCCGAGGGGGAAAAGGAAAGGGACGAAGGCTGCCGAGGGGGGAAAGGAAAGGGACTGAGGCTGCAGAGGTGAAAAAAGGGACTGAGGCTGCTGAGGGGGGAAAGGAACTGAGGCTGCCGAGGAGGGAAAGGAAAGGGACTGAGGCTGCCGAGGGGGGAAAGGCAAAGGACTGAGGCTGCCGAGGAGGGAAAGGAAAGGGACTGAGGCTGCCGAGGGGGGAAAGGAAAGGGACTGAGGCTGCCGAGGGGGAAAAGGAAAGGGACGAAGGCTGCCGAGGGGGGAAAGGGACTGAGGCTGCAGAGGTGAAAAAAGGGACTGAGGCTGCTGAGGGGGGAAAGGAACTGAGGCTGCCGAGGGGGGAAAGGAAAGGGACTGAGGCTGCCGAGGGGGAAAGGAAAGGGACGAAGGCTGCAGAGGGGGAAAAGGAAAGGGACTGAGGCTGGAGAGGTGAAAAAAGGGACTGAGGCTGCTGAGGGGGGAAAGGAACTGAGGCTGCCGAGGGGGGAAAGGAAAGGGACTGAGGCTGCCGAGGGGGAAAAGGAAAGGGACGAAGGCTGCCGAGGGGGAAAAGGAAAGGGACTGAGGCTGGAGAGGTGAAAAAAGGGACTGAGGCTGCTGAGGGGGGAAAGGAACTGAGGCTGCCGAGGAGGGAAAGGAAAGGGACTGAGGCTGCCGAGGGAGAAAATGAAAGGGACTGAGGCTGCTGAGGGGGGGAAAGGAAAAGGACTGAGGCTGCCAAGGGGAGAAAGGAAAGGGACTGAGGCTGCAGAGGTGAAAAAAGGGACTGAGGCTGCTGAGGGGGGAAAGGAACTGAGGCTGCCGAGGAGGGAAAGGAAAGGGACTGAGGCTGCCGAGGGAGAAAATGAAAGGGACTGAGGCTGCTGAGGGGGGGAAAGGAAAAGGACTGAGGCTGCCAAGGGGAGAAAGGAAAGGGACTGAGGCTGCAGAGGTGAAAAAAGGGACTGAGGCTGCTGAGGGGGGAAAGGAACTGAGGCTGCCGAGGAGGGAAAGGAAAGGGACTGAGGCTGCCGAGGGGGGAAAGGAAAAGGACTGAGGCTGCAGGGGGGAAAGGAAAGGACTGAGGCTGCGGAGGGGAAAAGGAAAGGGACTGAGGCTGCTGAGGGGAAAAGGAAAGGGACCGAGGCTGCTGAGAGGGGGAAAAGGAAAGACTGAGGCTGTTGAGGGAAAAAGGGACTGAGGCTGCTGAGGGGGGAAAGGAACTGAGGCTGCCGAGGAGGGAAAGGAAAGGGACTGAGGCTGCCGAGGGGGGAAAGGTATTGAGGCTGCCAAGGGGGGAAAGGAAAGGGACTGAGGCTGCCGACTGCCAAGGAGAGAAAGGAAAGGGACCGAGGCTGCTGAGGAGGAAAAGGAAAGGGACAGAGGCTGCCAAGGAGAGAAAGGAAAGGGACCGAGGCTGCCGAGGTGGGAAAGGAAAGGTACCAAGGCTTCCGAGGGGAAAAGGGAAAGGGACTGAGGCTGTTGGGAATGCTGGGAGTTGGGAGTCCAAAACAGTTGAAAGGAAAGCAAAAGTATTCCCATCCTTCATCCCATTGTGGACTGCAGCCGTTTCCCCATCAATAAATGCAAAGACCAGTCTCTGAAGCAATAAACTTGACATGTTTATTTAATTAAACTATCACTTAAATAAAAAAGTGCATAGAAAATAAACATGTTTAAAAACTCCTTTTTTTGTACAACTATATACACTTTTGTTTTGTTTTGTTATTTTATTTTTACATTCAGTCTTTCAGTCATTCCTCAAAAACTATTTTGAAAGTACTTCCTTCCTTCCCTGCGCGCGAGGGGCAGGGAATTAACACTGATGCAGCACGAGACGCGTTTCCTCTTTTTGAAAAAAGAAAAACCCCAAAAAGCCCCCCCCCCCACAAAAAAAAAAAAAAAACAGAAACCCAAAACGGTTTGGAAGAACACAAGTCGAGAAGAAGAGAGAGAAGAGAGAGAGCGATTGCTTGTACATGATAAGTTGTATTTGTCTCGGAACGGAACCCTGTGATGCGTACGTAGCGTCGGCACGGCGGGAGACGAGAACGATTCACGACCGGCGGCTATTGAGAGACGGAACCAAAGGGACACCACGAGCGCCGAGGTTGCCGGCGGCGGCGACGGGCAAAGCTGCGGGGACACGGCACGGTTGTTTCACGAAACCCAAGGGACGGAAGGAGAAGCCAAGGCGGCAAGGAGACCCCCGTCTCTCCGCGTGAGGGGCCAAAAGAGCCCCCTTCGCCCCCCACTGACCTCCCCGGAGCCCTTGCCGCCTGCCTTCGGAGACACTGGGACACAGAGCTGTTGTTACTAAAGAGTTAAAGAGAATTCAAAGCCAGGCTTCAAGACACGGCAGAAGCGGCGGCGGCAGAGGATGATGATGAGTATTTATTTCCTATATATACCATTATTTATAACTGCAAGGGTTGCAGGTGAGTGAGAAGAGGAGGAAGAAGAAGAAGAAGAAGAAGAAGAAGGGCTGCAGAGGAGAGCCCAACGGTCAGTCCATGATTCTGCGCAAGAGAGGAACCCGGTATTGCTTTGCCACAAACGGAGGAGAGGAGGCGGCCAAGGAGGAGATTTCAGCCCAGCCCTTCTGCAGCAGCGAGGGACCCGCTTGACCTTTAGGAAAGTAAACCCTGCGAGAGGTGGACTCTGAGGAGCCTCGGGCATCGGCATCATGATTGCGGTCAGTTCTGAGAAGGAACATCCCTATGGACCCACTGGTTCCATCTCAGTCCGAAGTTGCGGGGTGGCGGGGACCGGTGGTTCGCTAACTGATCGGTCACCCAGGCGTTGGACACTCAGGGCAGACCCAGCTCAGGAAGGAGGAGCAGCAGGAGTGGTCACTCTGGGCCTGTTTGACCAAAGCAGAGGCCATGGAAGAAGAGGAAGCCCAGGAGCAACTGTTGGGAAGTGGCTCCTCTTTCTCCTGAAATGGAAGGCCTGGGCCACTCAAGCTGTGAAACCAAGATGGCGGCCAGGAGGAGGAAGAAGAGGAGGAAGGCTTTTGCCTTGAGCCAGGGCCAGATGTTGGCCCCGAAGGACCCGACAGCATGAGGCATTTGAGAGGGACCCTGATGTCCAGAGGCAGAGCCTGGTGGGAAGAGTGCCATGAGCTGGAAGGGCGGAAGAGGCAGCCCTGCTCCCCCCCAAAATCCCAGAGACCCCCCAAAAGCCCCTGACCCCGCTGCCCCCTCCGCCCCTCCAATTCTGAGGAAGATGTCTCGAGCATCGGATCTCGGAGACGCCACAATCGGGGGAAAGGAAAGAAAAAATAGTCTCATTTAAGTGCTCTTCCCTACGAAGTGCTGCTTTCTCATAGAAAAATATACAAAATATATTTACATTTACAAAAAACCTTAAATACGCAAGCTGTAAACAGAACCGAGTGAGATCCAATGACGCGTAGAGGGAGGGAGGGGAGGGAGAAGGGTGCAACTCAAAGGAAGTTGTGCTGCTGCGTTGGTTTCAGAACGGGATATAAAGGGGAGGGGGCGCCTCTTCCTCTCCCTCCTCCCAGTGCAAACCCACAGCAACCCCCCCCCCCCCACAAGTGCTGGGCGAGACCCTCGGAGGGCCCCCCATTTTCAATTTTGGAAGCAGTGGTTTCCTAGAAGGCTTTGCCTCCAACATGGCTGCCCTGGGGTCACCTTTGGAAGCAGGGCGGAAGACCCTCCCTCTGAGTCCCCCTCCCCAAAAAGCGCCGGGTGCCCTCCCCCTGCCAGACCCAAAGCGGACCCTGAATTCATGGAAGCTGCCCTGCAATCTATCTCTCTTTTCTGGCCTGAGGAAGCAATGGAGGAGTGGAAGGGACCCATTCCCTCTTTCCACGAAGCCCACCCCTCCCTCTGCAGCCAAAGGGGAGGGGTGTGGGTGGGTGGGCCCATTGGGCGGGAAGCTCAGTTGAGGAACCGTCGGCACTTCTTGGCGCCGCAGTTGCAGGGCAGCTTGTTGCTGGCGTCCTCGATGGGGAACTTGTAGTCGTAGGTCAGCTCCTCCCCGCGGAAGATCTTGCGCATGGCGAAGATGACGATGTGCTTCTGCCCGTCGATGTTGATCACCCGGGAGAAGCAGTTGGGCTCGCAGGAGTGGTTGATGAAGCGGGCCGCGTTCCCGTGCATGGTGGCGTCCACCACCTCCGCGTCGTCAATGCGGAACATGTAGCAGCCAATGTCCTGGAAGAGGAGGGGTTGGGGGGAGACAGGAGGGAAGGGGTCAGGCCCCAAGGGACAGCCAAGCGGCGAAGGCCAAACGGGGGGACTGAGACAGAGACACCCGCTGAGAAGGCCTCACCTTGCCATCGTAGTACTTCTCCCGCTTGTCAGTGAGAATGGAGCGGATGACGTTGCCGGCGTATTCGATCACCATCTCGCCGGCGTCGATGTTCCTCTTGCAGAACAGGCCTCGCCCGTGGATGGGGGACCTGTGACAAGAGGGCGGGCCAAAGGGGATGGGCCCATGGGTGCCACCCATCAGTCCAATTTGCTGGCCAACTTGCTTCTTACCATCCAATTAACTGACTTCAGACACAGTTGTTTCTGCTTCAGTAGCGGCTCTAATCTTTATTTACATTTCATTCCTTGCAATGACACTTACTCATTAGCATGGTCAGATGCAAGGGAGAAGAGCCAAGAGAAAGAACACAATGGCCTCTGCTCTATTTACACCCCACTGTTACTACCTCATTCATTCAGTGCCCAGCCTCATAGTCTATTGCAACATCTTCCTTGTCTGTTCCACGCATGCTTCATAATGCTCCAAAACTTATCTTTCACAGCTAGCAGCATGGAGATTTTAAACTTGTAATATCTATCTATCTATCTATCTATCTATCTATCTATCTATCTATCTATCTATCTATCTATCTATCTATTAGCTGTACAGATCATGCGTTGACAGGCCAACCTTCTTTCTTTCTCTCTCTTCCCCCTTTTCCTTCTGCTTTCTCTCCTTCCTTCCTTCTCTACCTCTTCCCTTCCTTCATTCGCTTTTTTCCCCATCCTTCCTTCTCTCTTTCCTACTTTCTTTCCTTCCCTCTTTCTTTCCTTCCTTCGTTCCATCTTTCCTTCCTCTCCCTTTTTCTTTCCTTCTTCCTTCTCCTTTCCTCCCTCTTCCTTTCTCCTTCCTTTTTCTCCTTTCTCTCCCTCTTCCTTTCTTTCCTTCCTTTCGCTCTTTGCTTCCATCCTTTTCTCTTTCCCTCCCTCTTCCTTCTCTACCTCTTCTCCACTATCTTTCTTTTTTCTTTCCTTCTTCCTTCACTCTTTGCTTCCATCCTTCTCTTCCCTCCCTCTCCTCTCTCCTTTTCCTTCTCCTTTCCTCCCTCTTCCTTTCGTCCTTCCCTCCCTTTTTTCTTTCCTTCCTTCTCTCCTTCCTCCTTACCTCCCCCTCTTTCTCCTTCCATCCCTCCCTTCCTCCCTTTTGTTCTTTCTTCCTTCTCTCTTTCCTTCCTCCTTCCCTCCCTCTTTCTCCTTCCCTTCCACCCTTTCATCCTTCTTTCCTTTCCTTTCTCCCTCTTCCTTCCTTTCCTTTCCTTTTCCTTCCTTCCTTCCTTCCTGTCTTTCCTTCCTTCTCTGTTTCCTCCCTCCCTCCATTCTCATTCCCCCTTTTGTCCTTCCATCCTTCCCTCCGTTTTGTCTTTTCTTTCTCTCCTTCTTCCTTCTCTCCTCTTTCTTCCTCCGATTTCTCCCTCTCTCCCTTCTCTACCTTTCTTCCCTTCCTTTGCTCTTTGCTTCCATTCTTCTCTTTCCCTCCTCCTTCCTTGCTCTCCTTTCTTCCTTCTCTACCTTTCCATCTCTCTTTCCTTTTTTCCTCTCTCTCCCTCTTTCTTTCTCTCCTTCCTTGCCTTTTAAAAATTTTCCTTCTCTACCTCTTGCCTGGGTGCTGGCGGGAAGAGAGAGGGGGAGACCTCGAATCGTGGGCCTGGGGAAGCCGAGGGTCTTCCTGCCCAGCCCACCGGAGCCTTCCACACTTCCTGCAGCGGTTTGCTTTCCCCCTCGTGCAGGAAGGGGGCGGGGCCAGTGCAATAGTTTTCGCACATGCGCTGTACCTTGTTTTATCATTTTTGGGTTTTAAACTCCTTTTTGCTATTTTTTGTTTTGTTTTCTGAGTGATGGTCATTCATTGGGTTGTGAGGTGTATTGTGTTTAAATTTGGTGTCAATTCATCCAATAGATTTTGAGTTATGTTAATCCCACAAACAAACATTATATAGGTTGTTGTAGGTTTTTCCGGGCTATATGGCCATGTTCTGGAGGCAATATTTCTCCTGACGTTTCGCCTGCATCTATGGCAAGCATCCTCAGAGGTAGTGAGATCATTATATATATACACACACACATTACACTGATACCACCCACCCAGGGAGCCCCGGCCCTCTCCCACTCTCCCTCCGGCTCCACTGACCTGTAGACCCCGACGGCCTCCTTGGAGGTCTTCTTCAGGTGCCGGAAGCGCATGGGCATGGGGAGGTCCATGCTGGTGGCCCTCCTGCAGAAGGAAGGGGAGGGAGAAGGCTGCTTGAGCGGCCCCTGCAGCAGAGCCCCTCGCCAGGGGCCCAAGGGAGGGCCCGGCAGCTCTTCTTGGCCCCCGCTCCGTGGCCCTTGGCACCCCTCCCGCAGACAAGGTCAAGAAGGTGCGGCCTTTGAGCCCCCCCACCAACTCGCCTCCGCACCCGCTATGTACCGGGCAGACTTCAGCTGCACCTCCTCCTCCTCCTCTTCGTTGGGGTGGTACTCGGGCGGCTGGCGGTGCTTGGAGGCCAGGAAGTTGAACATGTCAAAGGCGGACTTCCTGCAAGGCAAGCCGGGGGGGAGGGGAGAGGGGGTGTTGGGTCAGGAAGCTGACCTTTGACCCCTGCCACCTCATCTGCCCCTCAGGTGAACTCCTGGAGCCCCTTCTTGCAACACCATCCCCACCACTGTTCCCAGATAGGGCTCTGCATTGGTTCCCACAGGTTTAGAGTCAACTCCTTGTGCCCTTCTCAACTCCCAGTAAGGAAATGGGCCCAGCACCGATCAAGCTGGTGCCACGCAATGGGTGCCGAGCGAAAGGAAGGGCTTGGAGAGCAGAGTGCAGCAGTGCTTCCATCTCAACGAGGTCCTGCACTGCCTCAGCCCCTCCTGGTCCTCGAGGGTCCTGGGTGCCACTTGCCTGAGGTGCACTTCGGCCCTGGCAGAGCCGTGGGGGTTGACGGGGGGCTCCTTGGCCTCCTCTGGTTTGTGGAAGCGGAACTTGTAGTTGTGGCAGTGCTTGGCGCCGTAGAGCTGCTCCACCAGGAAGACCACGGCATCGTGGAGAAGGCCCAGCATCCGCAGCCCACTCACACCTGCGGCGGGAGGAAGAGGAGGAGGAGGAAGGGAGAACCAGGGCAGGAATAAATACAGTATATTCTGGCGTATAAGACTACTTTTTAACCCAAGAAAAACTTCTCAAAAGTCAGGGGTCGTCTTTTACGCGGGTGTAGTCTTATGCATGGGAGTCGTCTTAACTCTATATTTTAACTGGAAAAGTTGGGGGTCGTCTTATACGCCCAGTCGTCTTATATGCCGGAATATACGGTAATAATAAACATTTATTACGGTCAATGACCAGCATCAAAAAAGTACAAGTGACAGGGTGTGCAAGTGTCAGAGTACGCACACATGTACAAGCACAAGTACAGAAGTATACAAGCATCAGGTTACACACACATCCGGATATCAGGAAACAATGTTAAACCAGGGCAGGAAGTGCGCGCCCCCAACTCTGCTCAACTTTGAGCTCCACTTTTGTATCCTGTTTGTGGGTGCTCTGCTATATATTTCAGGGTGGTTTTTCCCTAACTGTCTTCTCCCCATTTCTTTTCAGGGACAGTTGTCATTCTCGCTCAGAGAGGAGTGTTGGAATCCAACCTCACACTGCCCAAGTCTCAAGTCCTCAATGAGGAACAGTTTATTTATTTATTTACTTTATTTATATGCCGCTTTTCTCAGCCCTCAGGCGACTCAATGCGGTTAACAACATCAATTGTCTAAATGCACTTAATTGTTTTTGCTTTTTGAATGTATGTATTGATGGCATCAAATTGTGCCGATATGTAGACCGCCCTGAGTTGTCTGATATGGGCGGGATATAAGTGATGTAAATAAATAAATAAATAAATACAAAACATCATAGACAAGTATAGGGCAGTTAAAAACAATTGTAACATAAACAATTAAACATCAGTATAACAATCTTTAGCGCCTCAATAGTAAAATCAGAATCCAGTTTAGTTAGCTCAGAATAGTTTGAAGGATTTCCTTCCCTCATGTTTCCTGTATGACAGTTGGGAATGCATCTAATTACTTCTCTCCTCTGTTTCCGCTCTCATTCTGATTGGTTAAAATGGGTACTTTTCTAATGCAAGCCTTTTTGAATCTGACTTCTGCCTTCTGACACTTTAGTCTGGAGAGTATGTGCTGTGTGCTTTGAGATCTCTCTCTGCTTGTGTGTCAGGAGGGATGTTGTGATTGAGTTTTCCCTCTCTTGAATCCTTAGAAGACATGGGTGTGAGAGGAGCTGAGACCCAGCTCTTGATTATTAAGAAATCCAGTTACTTCTTATTATTGTAAACAAACCTTTTGTGATTTTTAAAGACTGGACTCTGCATGTTTTCCTCCTAAGCTCTGAATTCTTTGCAGCCACATCACACGGCACCTTCACACTCTGTGAGCTGTTGCTCAACTTTTGTATCCTGTTTGTTTGTGGATGCTCTGCTTTATATTTTAGGGTAGTTTTTCCCTAACCGTCTTCTCCCCAATTCTTTTCAGGGATGGTTGTCATTTTTGCTCAGACCCAGTTCTTTACCATGAAGAAACATAGGTAGTTATTAAATTACAAATAAAACTTTTGTGATTTTTTAAAACATTGGACTCTGCATGTTTGCCTCCTAAGCCAAAGCAAGAAGTGAAGGTACCATCGCCAGGGGCTTTGAGGGAAGGGGCAGCATTTGTTTCTCCTGTTGCCTTTGGCTCAGCTCCTCTGGACTCACTCCTGGCAGAACCGAGGCCCTGACTCTGCAACTCAAGGCCAGCAACAACACCTGTTTATATGTTTTAATTGTTTTATCATTTGAAGAAATTGAATAGACGAAGAAATTGAATTAGTCCAGAATAAAGATATTTTGTTCAATTACTGTACTACTGCTGCAAGAATAGTTTTTGCAAAAAAATGGAAACAGAGAGAAGTAGCAACAAAGGAAGAATGGATAAATAAAGTTATTGAAATTAAAGATATGGATAAATTGGTCTTTGCACTAAGAGACTCATATGGAAGACCAATGAAAAAGGGGGTGTATAGGTTGTGAAAGGGTTTTCTGACTTCCTCAATCTTCTTCTCCCTGGTTCCAGGTATTACATCTTCCTGTCTTCTAGAATTGCTTCTTCCTCTTCTTTTATGTCTTGTCCAGTTTTCAATGCTGATAGATATTCCTTGAATAACTTCCAGTATGTTTTTTTTCCTTCCCTTCCCAGATCCCCCTTTTCTCTCCCAAGACTTACCCAACCTTCTCACATCCAACATGAGTCCCGGACCTCAGCCCTTTTATCCTTTCCCCTACCTTTCCTTCCCTTACTTTATCCTACCTTCAATCCTAAAAACCCCATTTTCCTTTTACTTTTAATAATACCATTGTAAGGAAACTCTTTAATAAAATTTTATTAAAAATGTTTTATCACTTGATACGTTTTATTTATTATTTGTTGTTGCACTTATTGCATTTATATGTTTTAATTTTTTTTTTATCATCTGATATATTTATTATTTGTTGTATGATGCGGAATTGAATGTTGCCCTAATCTGTAAGCTGCTCTGAGTCCCCTTCGGGGTTGACAAGAGCGGGGTATAAATATAGTAAATAAATAAGCTCTGATTTTTTTCCAGCCACATCACCCAGCACTTCACACTCTGCTCGCTAATGAGCTGATGCTCCACTTTTTGTATCCTGTTTGATTTTTGGGTGCTCTCCTATTTATTTATTCATTATTTATTTATTTATTAACTTTATTTGTACCCCGCTACCATCTCCCCAAGGGACTCGGTGCCGCTTATTTATTTATTTATTTATTTGCTTTATTTCTATACCGCATTTTTTCAGCCCTTAACAGGCGACACAATGCGGTTTACATGGTACAATTATCAAACAGTGTCAGTGCAATTAAAACATAACAATGCAACAAACAGGATCAACAGCATCAATCCACACCAGTTAACAATCAACAAGACAGAACAACAAAACAGACATAACATAACGCCTCAGTTGAAATCAGATCCGTTCTCATAATCCTTGTGCCATTCCTATGTTCCATTTACCGTCTTCCTATGATTGGTTGCACTGCTTAACCAAACGCTTGTTCATAAAGCCAGGTCTTAACCATTCTCCGAAACGTCAGCAGCGAAGGGGCCTGTCTGATGTCTACAGGTAAGGCATTCCATAGCCGAGGGGCCACCACCGAGAAGGCCCTGTCCCTCGTCCCCGCCAACCGTGCCTGTGACGCAGGCGGGACCAACAGCAGGGCCTCCCCGGACGATCTTAATGTCCTGGTCGGTTCATAGTTGGAGATGCGTTCGGAGAGGTAAGAAGGGCCAGAACCATTTAGGGCTTTATAGGCTAACGCCAGCACCTTGAATTGTGCCCAGTAGCAGATTGGCAGCCAGTGGAGCTGGCTCAACAGAAGAGTGGTATGCTCCCTGAGTGCCGCTCCCGTTAACAACCTGGCTGCCGAGCGCTGGACCATCTGGAGCTTCCGGGCAGTCCAAACACAACAACTGCTATATTTTAGGATAGTTTTCCCTAACAAGGAGGTGAGGCCACGGGTCACAGCAACAGCTCTTTGGCCCCAGACTGCCAGTAATGACGCAGGGCAACCCAAGCGCCACTTCTGGGGCTCCAGCCAGCAAGGAGGGGCACGCCCAGAGATTGTCCCAAAGGAAGACATGCACTTGGGGCAAACCCAAGACGACCCACCTGCAAAGGAGAGCTGCTTCAAGCGGGCGTTGGACCGCGCCTCCTGGACTTTGTCAGTCAGGGATTTCCAGGCCTCTGAGATTGAGAGAAGAGAAAGAATGATCAAGTAGAAGGGGGAAGAGCAAAGTCCCCCCAAATCCACACCTCTGGATGCTCCTGGGACTCTAAATCCCACCAGGCCTCTCCTGTGGCCTGTGGGCAGCTGATATCGGATACAAGACACCGGGTGGGTGCTACAAACCTGTCTCCCGCTGCCCTGTGCCCACCTTCAATACTTTCTGCACAGATCTGAAAGCCGTCATCGCTGGAGATCTCGAAGACCAGCCCCTTCTTGGGCTTCCTCTCCACAACGCCTTCCTTCCTCTTCTGCTCCTGCTGCAGCCAGAACATGAGCGGGGAGCTGAAGGTGCCCCCTTCCTCCTCCTCTTCTTCCTGCTCGGGCGCCTTGGGGTCTGGAAGGAAAAGAGGAGCCGCTTGTCTCCCGCACGACAAATACAAGAGAGGAAAGCAGGGCACCCAGGGCCCCCCTGTTTGCACTCTGCTCACCTGCTGGCTCTGGTTCGCTTGGGGTGCTCTGCGCCAGCTGGGCTTCGGGGAGAGAGGCAGGGTGCCTGGGGAGAGAAAGACAGTCAGTGCCCACAGGGAATGCCACTCCTCTCTGGCAGCCCTCTTACCTCAAGCCATGGGCACTCCGGACAGACAGGCTGGTCAGTGGGTGGCCCAAGAGAGCGCTGCCCTCCACTGGCTACTGGGTTGGCCGGCTCAAGAGTTGAGGCAGGAAGCCTCCCAAGAGTCTCCCAGAGCCCACCAGACAGAATTCAGGCACAACAACAAAGAGACTGGGCTGACTTACCCTGCCGCCTTTGGGGCTGGGGGCTCTAGGCTTGCGGCCTCCTCTGGCTGCACCTTTGGGGCAGGGATCCTAGGACAGGTGGACAGAGAGAGGTATTTTGGACCCCCGCAGGGTCAGAAGAACCTCCCAATGCTCTTCTTTGTCAGGAAAGAGAAGCAGTAGAGCAAAAGAGACCCTCTAGCCCCTCAGGAAGTTCCCCATTTTAACAGTGGGGGTTGTGAGCGCAAAGAGGGGAGGGGGTGTCAGAAATATTAAATATTAAACAGGATTTTTTTTATTACAAAAGTGTGAGTCAAGCACTGAAAGAGTTAGTAGGCCGAAGACTGTTAAGACTGTGAGATAAACCTCTGTGTGAGAGAAGCCTCATGTCAAAAACCTGTGTGAGAGAAGCCTCGTGTCAGAAACCTCTGTGTGAGAGAAGTCTCGTGTCAGAAACCTCTGTGTGAGAGAAGCCTCGTGTCAGAAACCTGTGTGTGAGGAGCCTCGTGTCAGAAACCTCTGTGTGAGAGAAGCCTCGTGTCAGAAACCTCTGTGTGAGAGAAGCCTCGTGTCAGAAACCTGTGTGAGAAGCCTCATGTCTGAAACCTCTGTGTGAGAGAAGCCTCATGTCAGAAACCTCTGTGTGAGAGGAGCCTTGTGTCAGAAACCTCTGTGTGAGAGAAGCCTTGTGTCAGAAACCTGTGTGAGAGGAGCCTCGTGTCAGAAACCTGTGTGAGAGAAGCCTCATGTCAGAAACCTGTGTGAGAGAAGCCTCGTGTCAGAAACCTCTGTGTGAGAGGAGCCTCATATCAAAAACCTCTGTGTGAGAGAAGCCTCGTGTCAGAAACCTGTGTGAGAGAAGCCTCATGTCAGAAACCTGTGTGAGAGAAGCCTCGTGTCAGAAACCTCTGTGTGAGAGAAGCCTTATGTCAAAAACCTGTGTGAGAGGAGCCTCATGTCAGAAACCTCTGTGTGAGAGAAGCCTCATGTCAGAAACATGTCTGAGAGAAGCCTCATGTCAGAAACCTCTGTGTGAGAGAAGCCTCATGTCAGAAAGCTCCAGTATGAAGGCTGCTGCATGTAAAGCCACTATGTATTTGTTTATTTGTGTTATTTGTGTTCTTGTAAATAGTGCAACTATATTATTTTACTACAAAGAAAAGCCTCCTAAGGAAGAAATAGCATTGTGTTTTGGTTTTTTTTTTATCACTTTGGGATACTAGTGCTGGGTCATGCTGCTGCTGATTTATGGGGAGGGTCTTTTGTTAATAAACCCACTTGGCCAAGAAAAGCAGACCACCCAGCAGGCCATCTCTTACCGGCCGCCTGCCTCCTGGGCTGATGCCCCCCTTGTGCTTCGCTGGGGAGCCTCCTTCTCCAGGGAACCGGTCCAGAGCGGAGTGGTCTTGTGCTTCTTTGCAGGTGCCTTGCTGTCCAAGGAGGGCTGGAGACGCTTGGCTTTGAGCTTGGCCTTCATGGCGCTTGTGGGGCTCTGCTCTGCAGGTAGGGCCCCCCCAGGAGAAGCAGCAGCAGCAGCAGTGGAGGTGGCACGCACAGTGGGGGCGGAAACAGAGGGCTTGCTTTGCTCCAAGACTGAGGCGGCAGCTGGGTCTGTTGCATCCACTGCCGGAGGGAAGCGGGATAGCGGAGGGGCTTCTGGTTGGGGTGCCATAGCCCCACTTTTGCTGGACAGGAGCTGGGTCAGGGGGGGCCCTGGTTGGTAGGGGTCATCCGAATCAGGGGCCAGGCCTAGAGTCTGAGGAGAGGGCAAGGCGCACATGCCGGGCGATGCCACAGAGGGTGTGCCCTGAGCCGCTGGGGGGGCCTCGGCCAGCGGGGCATACATCCCAGAGGGGGCAGAGGGCGGAGGGGCAGCTGGGTGGGGGTCAGAGAGGCCCACACCCTGCTGGGAGGCCTTGATGAGGAGGCTTCCCAATGGTCCCAGGTCTGAGGAGGCGCCGGGCATCGCATGGCCCCTCCCCATTGCGTGTCCAGGGACTGATGGAGCTGGGCCAGACAGGGGCTGCATGGGCACCACGTTCAGCACAGGGGGAGGGGAGGCCGGACCAGGGGCAAGGCGGCCCGCCTCAGGCCCAGCCCCGCTGGACGGCGTTCCAATGGCCGACCCTGGGGACAAGAGAGGCGGCTGCTCGAAGTACATCACCCCTCCGGCCTTGGAGCGCTTGATGATGTTGGGGAGGGACCTGTGGGAGGTGGAAGTGCCCACCGCTCCACCCAGGTCCAGGAGGCCAGGGTGGGAGGGCAGCTGGGACGGAGCGAAGTTGACCAGGGCCATGCCGGAGGGAGCCATGTCCGATGGGGCGAGCTTCTTGCTCTTCCGCGACTGCAGCCGCGCAATGGGGCGTTTCTTGTTGAGGGCAGATGGCGGGGTCCCAGGTGAAGGGGAGGGTCCCAGCTCACCCCTCTGGCCAGCCTCAGGGTCTGGTGGCTGCTGGACGCCGATCAAGAGGCCTGAGGACGGCCCAGGGCTGGCCAGGGCGGGTGGGAAGCCGCTCTGGGGGCTGGCAGAGAAGGGGTGCAGGTGCTGGTGGTGGGCCATGGGCAGCAGCCCTTTGCCGGAGGAAGGGAAGAGTGGCTGGGAGGAGGCGGGCAGGCCGGGGCTGAGTCCTGCGGCCAGTGCCAGCTCCGCCGTGCCCATTGGCCCCATGGCCTCCATGACCCCCGGGGCAGATCCGATGGAAGAGGTCAGCTGGATCTTCTGCGTGACGCCATTGGGCAGCGTCTGCAGGACGTACAGGGGCTGCATGTTCTGGTTCACCACCAAGAGCTTCTCGGCACCGGCCTTGAGGTGGAGAGGGGCAGTCTGCACTGCCGCATTGGTGATTTGGGAGGGGCCGGGGTTCTCCACAGCGTTGGGCCCGTACTTGGCACCCTGGAGCGGGAGGGTGGGCGAGACGGGGACCTGGAGGCCGGGCGTCCCGCTGCTCCGGGCCAGGTCCTGCTCCGGGGGTCCGCAGGAGGGGCTGGTGATGTGCTCCGGCTCCATGTGGCCTTGGATGAAGGGGTCCGGGGTGAGGGGTCCGTCGGGGCTGGGGTCCACTTGGGGGCTCAAGAGGGGCGGCTCCCCTTCGCTGGGCGCAGGCTTTTCCGTGACGGTGACCCTCTTCTCGGCAGACTCGGCGGAAGGCAAGGCCAGCATGGCTCTCTCCCTGGAGGAGGAGAGGGTGGCCTCGGAAATGGTGGCAAGCCGGCCGTGGTTCTGGCTGGGCACCGTGGGGCTGCGAGTGGTCAAGACGGAGAGGTCCGACGGGAGCTCTAAGGGCAGCTCAAACTGTTCCTCGGCCGAGATGGAGGACGAGACGCTGCTGTCCACTGGCTCAGCGCTGGGCAGCTGCTGCGAGAACACCTCGAAGAGGCCCATGTCCTTGCCCCGGTTGCTGTCCAGTCCCAGGCCATCCCCCAGGGTCAGCAGCTCCGAGGAGGAGGACTCGGGGCTCTCCCCCAGCGCTTGCATCGAGGGGGTGTTCTTCAGCACAAAGTCCATAATGTCCGAAGGGAGGATATTTCCGCAGTCGTCGCTGTTGTTGTTGTCGGAGTCGGACTTGAGCAGCTCGGTGCTGAAGGTGTCCAGGAGGTTCTTTTCCGCAGGTTCTGCAGAAGCCCGGGTTCGTCGTCCGGCAGCCTCCAGGGAGCTCAGCTGGGCCTCCAAGGGATCCTGGCTCTGAGCCTTGACCCGGCAGTTCTCCATCTTGGACTCGGCCGCTTTGTGCCCCGCTGAGCCCTTGGTCACTTGGGCCTTCTCCCCGCTGCTCTCCTTCAGGCTCTCGGTCCCGTTCTCCTTGCTGCTGCTCCTCTTGGCCACAGGGTTGCCCTTCCGGGTGGTCACGGTGATGCTGGTGTCACTCTCCGTCCCGTCGTCGATGCCGTCCAGCTGGGAGATCTTTGGAGGGAGGCTGATGTTCTCCTCTTCGCGGAACAAGCTATGAGGGGCCAGGTGCTCCTCTCCGCTGGAGACCACCGTCCGGGTGAAGTTGTAGTAGTAGAGGTCATCCTCGTCGGAGGTGCTGAGGTCATCCGCTCCGTCCACCTGCCCTTCGGCCGACCTCTTCCCGCGCTTCTTGCCCGTGGAGTTGCTGTAGAAGGGGATGTCCTCCTCGCCGTAGGACCGCACTCCGTACAAGGGGGTCAGCCCAAAGAACATGTTGGACCTGGCTCTGGCGCTGCGCCGGGGGTACCGCCGCTTGTACGCCCCGTCCTCCTGCGGCTTGGCCCCGTCCTGGATCATCAAGCCGCTCCCCTGCACGGGGAGGCTGGGGTAGCCCTCCCCGGGGGCCTCGGAAGAAGAAGCAGCGCTCTGGCCCTCTGGAAGGACGCAGCCGTTGCCGGGCTGAGCCCTGGAGGAGGAGTCCGGCTTGCTCTCCTTGCCCTGCGGCTCCGAGTCGCTCTCCCTCTGGACACTCTTGCTCTCCCCTTCCATTTTGAGGGGCGTCAGGGTGACCTTCACGGTGCGCTTCTGGGAAGCCTGCATCTCCTTCAACGGGGCGGCGTCCCCCTGGAAGGGGGCCTTGGGTGACCTCTGGCTCAGCAGGCCGCTCTCGTCCGGAGCCTTCTCTGGGGCCGAAGTGCTGTTGCAGAGCCTCGGGGAAACTGGCTCAGGGGTCGCGGAGCGGAGAACCAACTCGGGTCCCGTGCTTTCTTGGTTGCCAGCTGGGAGGAGACTCGTGAGAGGCTTGCTGGGGTGCCTCTCCTTGGCTCCCCTCCTGGCCTTCTGCCGCCTCTCTCTGCCCACGGAAGACGCTGCCAGGGGGTCACTGACGGACGGGGGCGGGAGACTTTCTCCCGGAGGCTTGGAGGCCTTGGCTTCGAGATCCTGGAGAGAGCCGCTCTTTTCCGCCTGGGGGAGCTCCACCTGCTGGTCCTGCTCCTTCTTCGGCACTCTCTGATGCACTGGTTCTTTGGGGGGAAAGGGCTCCGGAGGGGCTTCGGGGGGCTTTCCTGCTTGGCCGGGGTTTGCCTCCACCCCAGGCAGGCTCTGTCCCGGAGGGAGCGCTTTCGGATTCCCAGGGGAAGAGAGGAAGTCCTTGGGGCCCAGCAGCTTGCCCTTCTCACCCGCCAAGGCTGCTTCCGATGACAGGCCGGTTCCCTCAGAGGGGGGAGTGCCTCTGCCTCCGCCGCCCACTGCTTGTTTTGGGGAAATGGGAGGCGGGGGGCTGTTCTGGGCAGAGAGGACTGGGGCTCCTGGGTGGTCTGGGGGCTTAGTGCTGGAAGACTCCTGCTCAGGGGCAGGAGAGAGGCTGGGTCCTGAAGAGAGGCTGGGCCTGGGGCCGTGGTGGGGGGCTCCTGCTCGGGTGGGAGGCACCGCCCAGGACCTCAGCTGCTGGGGAGTCAGCGGAGAGGCGCTGGGCCGGCGGGAGCCAATGCTCCTCAGTCCAGAAGAGAGCAGCGGGTCTCCCACCGTCACGATTTCGTGCGTCACAGGAGTCGGGCTCCCTAGGGAGAAAGAGAAAAAGAGACAATAAAATAATTTTATTTATTTACCATATCTATAAAGTTATTATTATTAAGCTAATAATAAAATAATATTTTATTTTATTTATTTACCATATTTATAAAGTTATTATTATTATTAAGCTAATAATAATAATAAAAAACTGGGTTGTTGTAGGTTTTTTCGGGCTATATGGCCATGTTCTAGAGGCATTCTCTCCTGACGTTTCGCCTGCATCTATGGCAAGCATCCTCAGAGGTAGTGAGGTCTGTTGGAACTAGGAAAAAGGGTTTATATATCTGTGGAATGACCAGGGTGGGACAAAGGACTCTTGTCTGCTGGAGCTAGGTGTGAATGTTTCAACTGACCACCTTGATGAGCATTTGACGGCCTGGCAGTGCTTGGGGGAATCCTTTGTTGAGAGGTGATTAGATGTGCCTGATTGTTTACTCTCTGTTGTTTTGCTGTTGTAATTTTAGAGTTTTTTTTTTTAATATTGGTAGCCAGATTTTGTTCATTTTCATGGTTTCCTCCTACAACAACCCAGTGATTCCGGCCATGAAAGCCTTTGACAATACAATAAACGTAATAATAAAAATAACAATAGAGTAAAATAATAAATATAATAACAATACTAAATAGAATAAAATAATCAATGTAATAATAGAGTAAAATAATAACTATAATAACAACAGAGCATAATAATAGAGTAAAATAATAAATGTAATAATAAAAATAACAATAGAGTAAAATAATAAATATAATAACAATACTAAACAGAGTAAAATAATAAATGTAATAATAGAGTAAAATAATAACTATAATAACAATTGAGCATAATAATAGAGTAAAATAATAAATGTAATAATAAAAATAACAATAGTGAAAATAATAAATATAATAATACTGAATAGAGTGAAAAATAAATGTAATAATAGAGTAAAATAATAAGTATAATAACAATAGAGCATAATAATAGAGTAAAATAATAAATGTAATAATAAAAATAACAATAGAGTAAAATAATAAAATAACAATACTAAATAGAGTAAAATAATAAATGTAATAATAGAGTAAAATAATAAGTATAATAACAACAGAGCATAATAATAGAGTAAAATAATAAATGTAATAATAAAAATAACAATAGAGTAAAATAATAAAATAACAATACTGAATAGAGTAAAATAATAAATGTAATAAAAATAATAATAAAATAAAATAATGTAAGTGTAATAATAATAATAAATCTAATAAAAATAATATTAATTACAGAGTAAAATAATAACATTGACTCGATTATAAGCCGAGGGGGGCTTTTTCAGGCTAAAAAAGGGGCTGAAAAACTATTATTTATTTATTTATTTATGTCGTGTACTTCTACCCCGCCCTTCTCAACCCCTGAGGGGGGACTCATACTTGAGTATATACAGTATTATTATTGTTGTAATTATTATTATTAAGCTAATAATAATAATAATAATACTTTATTTATATTCCGCTCCATCTCCCCAAAGGGACTCAGGGCAGATTCCAAACATAAAAGGTAAACATTCAATGCCCGAATACATCAACAATACATCCATACTAACAAAATGTATCCCACCCAACAGATAAATATGAATTGTAACTTAACACAAGCCACTGAAGGGAGCTCGGACAAAACACCGGGCACAGAAAAGAAGCCAAGTCACACGACGCAGGCGGAAAGCAGGAGGGGACAGACAGACAGACAGACCTGCGGAGGGCAAGGGGCGCGAACCGGGCGACCTCTGGGCAGGGGGAAAGCCCGGTGTCCTGATGCGCAGGGCCTTGCAGTGCGGAGGGTGCAGAGGAAGGTCGGCGGAGGGGGCTCTCAGGACGGGCGGCAACCCCCGGCCCTCCCTGGCTGGGATTTCCGCTGCGGGAGAAAAAGAGAAGCCGGGGGCTCTTGCTGGGTGCAGACCAAAGAAGGGGGCAGCAAGGAGACACTCCCAAGTGGGCAACCCAGGGCACGGGCGCAGCCTTGGCCGAGGCGGGGGACGCGCCGGAGGGAGGAAGAGACTCACCGGGAAGCAGGGCCAAGCCGTGAGCCACCGTCCTGTTGTCGCCGTGCTCCACCGTGCTGTTGATGTCTGGCTCCAGGGCCGGAGGGCGGCACTCCATGATCTTGCAGGTGTAGACGCAGCGCTTCCGGGCGTCCATCGTGCTCCAGTACACCCGGGAGCACCTGGGGAGACACCCCAAAGGAGTGGCAAAGAGGGCAGCGGACACAGGACGTGGTCCTGCTGGGATAACACCTGCCCACGCTTTGTTTGTTGGAAATGCAACCTCCCAATTTATTTATTTACTTTACTTTACTTCTATACCCGATGTTCTCGAAGGCGACTAACAGCGGTTCACAGCACATACGAAACAGCAAAATTCAATGCATCAATAAAAAACAATTAACAACCTATCTAATACACAGTTAGTACACAATTACTATAATAACCATTCAATAACGTCTCCTCACTAAAAACACGGTCCAAATCCGTCATCCATTGTTCCATTCCTATGTCATTACCAATCATTGCACTAACTACTCGAACGCCTGCACAAACAACCAGGCCTTTACTTTTTTGCGGAATGCCACTAGAGATGGTGCTAATGTAATGTCCGTGGGAAGGGCGTTCCACAGCCGGGGAGCCACCACCGAGAAGGCCCTATCACTCGTCTCCGCCAGTCGTGCTTGTGAAGCTGGCGGGATCGAGAGCAAGGATCCCAAGCCTTTCCCTATCGATTTCTTAATGTATATATTTGCTAACCTGTACTCTATGTGTATGTTGACTTGCCAGTTTGACTTACCGTATATACTCGAGTATAAGCCGACCTGAATATAAGCCGAGGCACTTAATTTTACCACAAAAAACTGGGACAACAGATTGACTCGAGTATAAGCCGAGGGTGGGAAATGCAACAGATACTGGTAAATTTCAAAATAAAAATAGATACTAATAAAATTACATTAATTGAGGCATCAGGAGGTTAAATGTTTTTGAATATTTACATAAAACTGTAATTTAAGATAAGACTGCTCAGCTCTGATGAAACCATTCTGACCTTGTTAGATGTAAATGTGCTTACGTATCCTTTCAGTAAAAATAGAGTAAAATAATAAGTGTAATAATAACAATAATAATAGAGTGAAATAATTAATGTAATAATAACAATAAAATAATAATAATAATAATAATACATTTATTATGTATTTATTTTACAGAGTAAAATAATAAAATAACCTTGACTTGAGTATAAGCCGAGAGGGATTTTTCAGCCCCAAAAAAGGTCTGAAAAACTAGGCTTATACTCGAGTATATACAGTACCTCTTTTGGCGTGGGAGGGGTTATTGACATTTATTTATTTATTTAGAATCCTAGAATCAAAGAGTTGGAAGAGATCTCCTGGGCCATCCAGTCCAACCCCATTCTGCCAAGAAGCAGGAATATTGCTTTCAAAGCACCCCTGACAGATGGCCATCCAGCCATGTAGTAAGTAAATAACAATAAAGTAAAATAATAAATATAATAACATATAATATATAATTAGTATTATTTACTTACTACATTTTTATACCGCTCTTCTCAGCCCGCAGGGCGACTCAAGAGCGGTTCACAACAGCAAATACAATACTTAAAACATGTTAAAAACAGTTGAGAACAATTTAAAAGAATAACAATTATAACAACAAATAAGCATCAAACATCGCTTATCGTCTCATAGTCTCACTGAGCATGTTCAGACTCAAGACTCAGTGGAGGTGGATTTATTTATGTATTTATTTATTTACGACATTTATATGCCGCCCTTCTCACCCTGAAGCGGACTCTGAGCGCCTTACAAGATATATATAAAATGAGCAAGAGTCTGGAGAACAAGCCCTATGAGGAGCGGCTTAAAGAGCTGGGCATGTTTAACCTGAAGAAGAGAAGGCTGAGAGAAAACATGATGAAGGCCATGTATAAATATGTGAGATGAAGTCATAGGGAGGAGGGAGCAGATCAAGGGTCTGGAGAACAAGCCCTATGAGGAGCGGCTTAAGGAGCTGGGCATGTTTAGCCTGAAGAAGAGAAGGCTGAGAGGGGATATGATAGCCATGTATAAATATGTGAGAGGAAGCCACAGGGAGGAGGAGGGAGCAAGCTTGTTTTCTGCTTCCCTGGAGACTAGGACGCAATGGAGCAATGGCTTCAAACTACAAGAGAGGAGATTCCATCTGAACATGAGGAAGAACTTCCTGACTGTGAGAGCCGTTCAGCAGTGGAACTCTCTGCCCCGGAGGGAGTGTGGTGGAGGCTCCTTCTTTGGAAGCTTTTCAACAGAGGCTGGATGGCCATCTGTCAGGGGTGATTTGAATGCAATATTCCTGCTTCTTGGCAGAATGGGGTTGGACTGGATGGCCCAGGAGGTCTCTTCCAACTCTAGGATTCTATATATATATTATATTATTAGCATAGTACAGTAGCAGTAGGAAATATTACTATATTGTACTATACCAGTATATTGCATTATTAATAATATTACACGTAATATAAATATAGAATGCACTTTCTTGGGGACGAGCCTGTACTTACTGGTAGCCAATGGGGAAGAGCTTGTCTTCACAATCCGAGAGGTCTTTCAGGATCCCGAGGCAGTCGATGGTCATGGAGCCTGCACGGAAAAGGCCCCGGAGCGGTTACGTCAGGGGTGGGGAAGGGGCCTGGTGCCCCCACAGCCCTCACCAGGGACCAAGGCCTTACCGATCATCATGTGGATGTTCTCTGGCTGCAGGCCGTTCAGAAACCGTCGCCTTAAGCTGATCCCTTCAAAATCCACAAAGACTCTTCTCAGGACCTCAAAGCCATTCTCTGGCACCACCTACAGCAGAGAAGAGTGGACAGTTCAAGAGAAGGCTGTGCAAAGGGCCCCAGGCGGAGCGTGGAAGGGGGTGTCCACTCACCTCCCCTTTGATGAGGTCCCGGTGGCGCTGGCAGTACACTTTCTTGTCCTCCAGGAAGATGCAGTTCTTGGCCCGGGAGCACATGAAGTGGAAGTTGCTGGTGCAGGAGGTCAGGCAGCAGCCCACCGTGGCCCCCGGCCTCTGGCAGAACTCGCACCTCTGCAAGACAGGGCGGAGGGTTAAGGCCACCATGGGGAAAAGAAATGCCCCGGTGCAGCGTTTCCCAAGCTTCCTAATGCCGCAACCCCTTAGTAAAGTTCCTCCTGTTGTGCTGACCCCCAACCAGAAGATTACTTTCATTGCGACTTCATCGCTGTGGTTTTGCTACAGATACAAATCATAATGTAAATATTAGATGTATTTTCATTCACTGGACTAAATTTGGCACAAACGCCCAATACACCCAAATTTGAATACTGGTGGGGTTGGGGGCTGAAGTTTCAGAACCGTCTTCAAAGGCAGCCCCACGTAGAGTGCATTGCAGAAATCTATTCGGGATGTAACCAGAGCGTGGAGTACCGTGGCCAGATCAGACTTCCCAAGGAACGGGTGCAGCTGGCGCACAAGTTTTAACTGTGTAAAACCTCCCTTGGTCACCACTGAAACCTGGGGTTCCAAGCTCAGTGATGAGTCCAGGATCGCTCCCAAGCTGCGAACTTGTGTCTTCAGGGGGAGTGGAACCCCATCCAGCACAGGCTGTAACCCTATGCCCTGTTCGGCCTTTTGACTGACCAGTAGGACCTCTGTCTTGTCTGGATTCAATTTCAATTTGTTAGTTCTCATCCAGTCCAACACAGCAGCCAAGCATCGGTTCAAGGTCTGAACAGCCTCCTTAGTGACAGGTGGGAAGGAGTGACAGAGTTGGACATCATCTGTGTACAGATAACACCTTACTCCAGCATTACTTCCAATTTTAATTTTACATTTGGCCTTCCCATAGTTTTTAATCGTGTGGTCTTATTGTTAATGTTGCATTATTGTATTGTCCATGTTTATTTTAATTGCTTGTATTGTTGTTATTGCTTGTATTGTTGTATTTGGGCTCGGCCTCATGTAAGCCGCACTAAGTCCTTTGGGGAGATGGTAGCGGGGTACAAATAAAGTGTTATTATTATTATATTATTACTCCAAAACTCCGGATGATCTCCCCGTGGCGTCATGTTGATGTTAAACAACATCAGGGACAGCACTGAACCCTGAGGGACTCCACAAGGTTGAGAAACGCTGCTCTGATGGAAAGCACATAGTGAGCAAAAGGAGCAGCAGTATGACCATCTGTTCCAAAGAGTTTCCTGTCTGTGTCATTGTAACAGAGGAGTCAGCCAATGGCCAAGCGAGACAAGGGCTATGGCACAGAGGAGTCTGGGGATCCCTTCCCATTTTGCATGCAGAGATCTGACATTTGGAGACCCAAGAGAGACAAAGCACATTACTTCCCCACATCTGTCAAATATGGGCTGGCTGTGGAGAGGTTTTGCAAAACCTTCCTTGTTAACAAGTAGGAAAAGGGCCTACTGTTGCTGCTTTGGAAATTCATGCCCTGCATGATCTTATTCCCACAAATCCTCCTCCACCCACCAGCTGCTTCCCGCGGATCAGGGCCATGTGCACGTTCTTCAAGGAGCCGCCGTCATCCTCAAACACCTCCGCTGACCACAGGGCGCAGTTCACGTGGGCCCACTCGTTCTGGCCGACGTAGAGGAGGCGCCCAGCGTCCTGAAGGAGACAGAGAAGAGCCTGGGTCAGCTGGGCAGTGAAGGCCAGTCTCATGACATCTTGGCCCCTTCCAAAAAGAGGGCTGCCCCAGCCTTTGCCCCAGACTCCTTTCCTGGCACTTACGTTTCCCCCGTCATCGCCATACTTCAAGCAAAGGGCACACTGCCGGTTGTCTTCCACGTCCGGAGGAGGGACAAGGTCTGGGCCGTCCTCCTGCGTTCTGTCGGGATCTACAAAAGAAACATCGCAAAAAGGGGAATGTGTGCTGGAAATACTAAAAATTAGGTATTTTTAATTACAAAAATGTGAGTCAAGCACTGAAAGGGTTAAATGGATGCAATGTCTCCGCAAAATCCGCAGTTCAATATAAGCAAGGGTGCCTGTAGCTTAGTACACCTCATTGTTAGTTGCGCTCAGTATAAAGAGGCTTCAGTCTGAGAGAGGCCTCAGTGTGAGATAAACCTCAGTGTTAGTAGGCATCAGTGTGAGGTAGGCCTCAGTGCGTGAGAGGCCTGGTGTGAAAAAGCTTCAGCGAGAGAAGCCCCAGATTGAAGGCCTCATGTGTAAAGCTCCTGTGTGTGAGGTTCCTCTGTAAGTTTGGTGTGAGAGGAAGCCTCAGTGAGAGCGAAGCTCGTTATCTGCAAGAGAAAGAAGCTCAGTGTGGAAGCAAAGAAGGAAGTAGCAAGGACTTTTAATTGTGTTATGGAAATCTTGCTGTTGTAAATACAGCAACCATATAATTTTACTACAAAGAAAAGCCTCCAATGGAAGAGATCACATTGGTTTGTGTGTTTTTGTTCCTTTTACCACTTTGGGCTACTGGTGCTGGGTCACAATGCTGCTAATAAGTTACTCTAATGAAGGTTTATGAGGAGGGTCTTTTGTTAATGAGCCCACACACCCAACAATAATGCAATATAATTGAGTTGCCTACAGACTGAGAAATACAGTAAATACATAAAATAAATAATAATATGACATTATATTTATATATTTATATTCCATGTAATATTACTAATAATATTTCAATATAATGGTATAGTACAAAATAGTAATATTTAATACTGATATTTATTTATTTACAGTATTTATATTCCGTCCTTCTCACCCCGCAGGGGACTCAGGGCGGATTACAATGTACACATATATGGCAAACATTCAATGCCAAAGACACACAACACATATAGACAGACAGTCAGAGGCTATTTAACTTTTCTGGTCGCCAGGGGAGCTGTCGTTTCATCATCCATCTGCAACACCGATGAAGTACTTCCGCATTCCTCGCATGCTTTGCTGGAGTCTTTTTTATGGCCTCATAAATTAGTTAAATTAGCCTCCCCACACATAGGTGGTACCTAATTTTCCTACTTGACAGATGCAACTGTCTTTCGGGCTGCAAAGGTCGACAACTAGCTACACAATTGGTCAGAAGCTCACTCCGACCCGAGCTGGCTTCGAACTCATGACCTCTTGGTCAGAAGTGATCTTAATGCAGCTGACACTCAGCAAGCTGCGCCACAGTCCCGGTGCTATTGTACTGTGCTAATAATATAATATATTGTATGTATATATAGCTTTTAAGCCGCTCTGAATCCTCTTCAGGGTGAGAAGGGCAGCATATAAATGCCATAAATAAATAAATAAACAATTTGCCCATCCTGACCAGGGGAGAAGAGGAAAAGGAGGAGGAGAGCTGGGATCTGGATGCTGAAGGAAGCAATGGCCAAAACAGGAAGGCGAAATGCAACCACTGTCGCAGCAGCAGAGGGAGGGGAGCCCCCTTCAGCCAGACCCCTGGGCAGCAGGTGGAGTAAGTCATAAGCTCTCTGACAGGACTTGATTCTAAACGCATTCTCAGCCACCACACATCTGCCCTTGGACACCCTTATTGCTTACTGGCAGAAGGCGGTGTTGGCGGAGGCATCGGGGTCGGGGAGTCGGGCTCTCCAGGCCCCTTGGGCCGCGGGGCTGGAATGATCTTCTTCATCAAGGGGGGCTGCTGGGCACAGCTGTTCTCCTCGCGCTCCTGCCACTGAGCGTAGTTGTGGTCGAGCGACGGGGGCAAGACGGCGTTGGGCAGCATCCCACTGCTGAAAGGCACCCAGAGGAGGAAGAACCCGGGTCAGGCGTGCCTTTACTCACTCCGGAGAGGGTAGCCCCTTAAATGCCCACCCAAGGGATCTTACAAGAAGGACCCTTGGAATCCCCTCTCTGGCCTCCGAGAAGGGAAAAACTGCCTCTCAAAAGCCAGATCTTGCCTTGGTTTCAAAGCGGGAGAGTGGCGGCACCCTACAAGCCCACGACAAAGTGACTTACTTTGGTGTAACTTTATTAGGTTCCCAAAATCTTGATTTCTTCACGCTGAACCATGGAAATACACGCTCCATTTGCTAAATAGGGAAGGAAAACAGTCCTTGACAAGATGCGCTTTCACTCCGAGGAAGATGCAAATTTACATCCAGGCCAATTTATTAGGGGCAAAGTTAGGCCTTAGACTTGTCAGTTTTTCTGGGCTATATGGCCATGTTCTAGAAGCATTCTCTCCTGATCTTTTGCCTGAATCTATGGCAAGCATCCTCAGAGGTTGTGAGGTCTGTTGGAACTAGGAAAAAGGGTTTATATAGCTGTGGAATGACCAGGGTGGGAGAAAGAACTCTTGTCTGTTGGAGCTAGGTGTGAATGTTTCAACTGACCACCTTGATTAGCATATAATGGCTTGACAGTGCCTGGAGCAAACTTTTGTTGAGAGATGATTAGATGTCCTTGTTTGTTTCCTCTCTATTGTTGTGCTGTTGTAATTTTAGAGTTTTTTTTAATACTGGTAGCCAGATTTTGTTCATTTTCATGGTTTCTTCCAACAGCAAGCAAAAAGCCCACGATATGGTTCAGATATGTGGATGACACTTTCACCCTTTGGAGCCATGGAGAAGAAGAACTCAACAGGTTCCTGGAACATCTCAACAGCATCCACCCAAACATCCAGTTCACCATGGAAAAAGAAAATGAAGGAAGATGGCCTTTTCTAGATGTCCTAGTCATCCGCAAACCAGATCAACAATTGGGACACACCATTTACAGAAAACCCACACACACAGATAGAGATCTACACAAAAACTCCAACCATCACCCAAGTCAAAAAAGAAGCCCCATTAAAGCCTTGGCAGATTGTGCAAAAGGAATCTGCGAAGCCCACCTCCTCCAAGATGGACTGAACCACCTCAACTGGGCTCTCCAGGCCAATGGAGACTCCACCTCAGACATCAGAAGAGCTGCAAGACAACCGAGAAGAAGCCACGAGAGTCAAGACAGAGATCCACCCAGAGGAAAAGGGTTCTTGCCAGACATCAAGGGAACCACTGACTGCAGAGGGAAGCTGATGAGGAAACACAACCTACAAACTATCTCCAGACCCACCAAGGAAATCCAACAAATGCTCCGTTCAGCAAAGGACAAGAGGGATCCTCTCGCTTCTGCAGGAGTCTACCGTGTACCATGCAGCTGTGGACAAGAAGTCTACATAGGGACCACCAAACGCAGCAGCATTGCCCAGACATGAATCAAGGAACATGAAAGGCATTGCAGACTACTTCAACCACAGAAATCAGCCATAGCAGAGCACCTGAGGAAACAACATGGACACAGCGTGTTATCTGGGAACACAGAAATGCTGGACCACTCTCACAACCATCATGTCAGACTACACAGAGAAGCCGTTGAAATCCACAAGCATGTGGACAATTTCAACAGAAAGGAGGAAACCATGAAAATGAACAAAATCTGGCTACCAGTATTAAAAACCTCTAAAATTACAACAGCAAAACAACAGAGAGGAAACAATCAGGGATAGCTAATCACCTTTCAACAAAAGATTTCCCCAGGCACTGCCAGGCCATCAAATGCTAATCAAGGTGGTCAGTTGAAACATTCCCACCTAGCTCCAGCAGACAAGAGTTCTTTGTCCCACCCTTGTCATTCCACAGATATATAAACCCTTTTTCCTACCTCCAACAGACCTCACTACCTCTGAGGATGCTTGCCATAGATGCAGGCGAAACGTCAGGAGAGAATGCCTCTAGAACATGGCACTATAGCCCGAAAAACCTATAACAACCCAGTGATTCTGGCCATGAAAGCCTTTGACAATACATAGGCCTTAGACTGCTTCCCAGGCAGCCAAGGAGCGACTTGTACAGAACTAAGAGCCCCCCGGGGAATGCTGAAGCCCTGGCATCACATGCTGGAGGAAGGGTTGAACCCGCCTCACCCGGATAAAGAAGGACTTCACCATGCCGTTGGCCTTCTTCAGCTCCGGCTGCCCTCCGTCCGCGTTGATGGCGGCTTGGACGATCTTGACCACGTCGTCGCTGAAGTCCAGCTGAGCGGGAGAAACAAGCTGGTCATGCCGAGAACAAACGACACGAAGAGAGGCCGAGGGAGCTGGGCACGCTCCGCCTGGTGAAGAGACAGACGTACCACCGAAGTGTAGCCTCCTTGGTCCATTTTCCTCTTCATGCTCTCCAGGTCCCGCAGCGGCTGCTCCTCCTGCTTGCTGACCTCGGTGAGCACCGGCGGATCTGGGCCTTCGGGAGAACTGCGGGACGGGACGCTCTCCTCCGTCTCCGGGTTCAAGTCGGGGGGTTTGGCTGCCTGGAGACGGGACAGAGAAGGGGAAGGAGCAGGGCTGAATCTCTCACCCAGCACTTCTACTCGCTTGTTCCAAGCATAACGCTCCTGGCAGCTGTAAAGATCCCTTACCTTGCCAGCCAGGGTGGCAGGGCCCAGGAAGAGACAGGCTAGGTAGTTTCAGCTTAGAAGGCCTGGCAGAGAGCTGCTGGAGCCATCTTAGTTTAGGGAAACTCCAGCTCAGAGAGGGGGAGTGGCCTAGGCCTGAGCCAGCCCAGCAACAGCCAGGATTGGTTTGGAAAAGAGGGGCGGAGTTAGCCAGTTGGAGGGAAAGAGAGCAGCTTAATTTGGACAGTTTTAGTAGAGTGCAGTTCTGAGTAGAGTGCAGTTCTGAGTAGAGTAGAGAGCAGTTCAGTTCTGAGAGAGATTAGAGTAGGATTTGGATGTTTTAGGAGACTCTGTTAAGAATAGGCAGCTTGCCTGTAGTTTTGCACAGCACAGTAGGCTGTCGCAGACTGAGTTACAGCTATTTTAGAAAAGAAAATAGCTGGGTTTTGTGTTTAAGAAATTGTAACAAAGGAAAGAACCATTCTCTCAAGTAACCATTACGCTTCTAAGAAACAAGAACACTTTTATTTGTAACAGCTAAGCCTCTGAACCTGCATTCACTTATAATTCTGTAATTTGTAATCAATAAACTCTTTCTTGTTATTTTTAAAATTGAAGCCTGAGTCAAGTGCCATTTTTGGTTGGAGTCATTTTCCTTGTTGAATCAACCTCTCCTGTTTTCCCCTCAAAGAAAGCCCTTGATAATACACAACATTTGGTGGAGTAAAAAGCCTTTTATTATTTTAAACAGCATTTTAACATTTTAAATAGCTAGAGGGTTCGTGTTTCTTTAGTTTATGGTGGCAGCGAAGGTTTTACATAACAAGACATCCCCTCAAACACTATAAGAGCCAAAGTGGTGTGAATTCCTGATTGTCAGGAAAGACAGTGGTGGGGTTCTTTGACCCCCTGCCCAGACGGCCTTAAGGAGTTATTATAGCAGCCACCACAGAGACCACTCAGGACGAGCCATGGGGGAGAAGGGCTGGCGTGGGACAGGGCGTAGCTCCCTTCACCCCACACAATCGTTGCAGAGGACACTGATTCCCCCAAGAGGTGATGGGGTGTCCTCCTCTGGGGATGTTTCAGTTGGAAATCCTGCATTGAGTGGATTGAGGGGCCCTTTTCAGTTTTGAATTCCCAGCAGATCCTACTAAAGACAGACAGGCAGGTCCCTGTTTCTTCTGAACTGTTGCTCTATGACAGACATGTCGCTTATTCTACTAATTCAAGAGGAACGATCCACCCGAAGCCCTCCACCTCACTCTGGGGCCTCCTCTCCCAGCAGCCCCAGAGAAGTGTCAGAAATATTACACATTATCTAGGTATTTTTGATGACAAAAGTGTGAGTCAAGCACTGAAAGAGTCAGTAGGCCGAAGCCTGTTAAGAGTCAGTAGAGAAATAGAAGATATAATGAATATTAAAATAGAAAGAAGTCCTAGTTAGCTTTATTATCATTATATAAGAATAAACAATTGAAAAAAGAGGATAAGGAAGCGATAACAAATTTATTAACAATAGCAAGACTGCTTATAGCAAGGAACTGGAAAAAAGAAATAAATATACAAATAGAGGAGTGGTATAAGGAAGTATGGAAACTGGCAATAAATGATAAGCTGACATGTATATTAAAAGTTAAAAGAGGGATATGGAAACAAAGTGATTTTGATGATGTATGGAGAAAACTTATTGGAAAAGGATGAAAAAATAAAGAAGGAAAGTTACCTCCGCAAGAAGAATTGAAATTTTGGACAGATGATATGTAAAAGCTGTGGCTTGGGAGGGGGAGAGGGGAGCACAGTGGTGAGGGAAAGAAAATATGTTTAAGCAGAATAATTAACACCAGATGCCAAAAGTATGTTAGTTTGTATTGAATAATATGTATCTGCTGTAAAACAAATGTATAACAAATGTATTAAACCATGATAAAATAATAAAAATTATTATATAAAAAAAGAGTCAGTAGCTTGCGTTGTCCTGAGGAGTGTGAGGTAAACCTCAGTGTGAGAGAAGCCTCGTGTGAGAAAGCTCCAGTGTGAAGGCTGCTGTATATAAAGCTATTGTGTATTTATTTATTTGTGTTATGGAAACCTTGTTGTTGTAAATAATGCAACCATATTATTTTACTACGAAGAAAAGCCTCCAAAGGAAGAGATGAGATTGGTCTCTGTGTTTTTGCTCTTATCACTTTGGGCCTACTGGTGCTGGGTCAAGCTGCTGCTAAGTTACTCTGCTCTGCATTTATGGGGAGGGTCTTTTGTTAATAAGCCAACTTGCCAAACAGACAGGTGGGCCCCTGTTTCTCCTGATAAGCAACATGTCTATAGCAGACACGTTGCTTATTCTACAAATTTGAAGAAGGATGCTCCACCCGAAGCCCTCCACCTCACTCTGGGGCCTCCTCTCCCAGCAGCCCCACAGAAGTATCAGAAATATTGCATATTATCTAAGTATTTTTTTTGACAAAAGTGTGAGTCAAGCACTGAAAGAGTTAGTAGGCCGAAGCCTGTTAAGAGTCAGTAGCTTCCGTTGTCCTGAGGAGTGTGAGATTAACCTCAGTGTGAGAAAAGCCTTGCGTGAGAAAGCTCCAGTGTGAAGGCTGCTGTGTATAAAGCTATTGTGTATTTATTTATTTGTGTTATGGAAACCTTGTTGTTGTAAATAGTGCAACCGTATTATTTTACTACAAAGAAAAGCCTCTAAAGGAAGAGATAACATTGGTCTCTGTGTTTTTACTCTTATCACTTTGGGCTCCTGTTGCTGGGTCACGCTGCTGCTAATAAGCTATTCTGCTGTGCATTTATGGTGAGGGTCTTTTGTTAATAAGCCCACTTTCCAAATAGACAGCTGGGTCCCTGTTTCTCCTGATCTGTTGCTCTACGGCAGACATGTTGTTTATTCTACAAATCCCCCCCTCCCCAATACCTCCACCTCACTCTGGGGCCTCATTTCCCAGCAGCCCCACAGGAGGAGGGTCCAGCCCACCTGTCGGTAGCGCAGCAAGTGGCTGGTGGTCCTGGAGTTGAAGAGGGCCGCCAAGACCTGCTTCAGGGAGAGCTGCAGCTCCTTCTCCAGCGCCAGCCGCCATTCCGCCGGGTGCTGCTCCGTGCAGTTGATGCAGGTGTAGGCCACGCTCTCGGGCAGGTTGGAGAGGATCTCGTACATCTCGTCTGAAGGGGAGCGGGACAAGCGTTACGTGACGGGCACCAAGGGAGAGGAGCCCCAATGCCACGGTCAAGGGGTGGGCAGGCAGTGGATGGCCTCACCAGAGAGGTTTTCACACTTGGAGTGGACCCAGCGGTCACACTTCCCGCACTGCATCATCTTGCTCTCGTAGTCGTCGTCATCGTAGCATTTGTCGCAAAGAGGGCAGAAGTTCCCTGCAAGGGAGGCAAAGGGCTGAGCTCACTGCCATGAAGAGATGCCCACTAAAAGGCCAGGCTGGCGGCCTCCTGGTTTCGCCACAGAGAGAATCAAATGGAAGGCTGCTGCCTGGGCCGGCCGGGGACACTTTGCCCACACTCCTCCCCTCCTGGGTGGAAGGTGTGTCGCCTTTCCTTCCCTGGGCAACTGGGCCCACCTCTCCTCACCTTTAGCAAAGAGTTTGGCACAGTCGTGACACAGGGAGAAGTCATGGGACCACTGGGCATCCCAGCCCTTCCCCGGCGTTGTTGCCCCACAGCTCTTGCAGCGGACACACTTGGTGCAGATCTGGAAAGAACAGTATTTATTTATTATTATTATTATATTTATTTACTATATTTGTAGACCGCCCTTCTCAGCCCTCAGGCGACTCCGGGCGGTTTACAGAGGCAACGATTCATTGCCCAAGAACATCATAAAACATTTAAAACATTAATACAGAGTATAAAACCAAACAAAAGTAATAAATGCATAAGCCATTTGCGTCTACTAATTAAAAACATTATCCATCCTCCTGAGAAGGGAGGAAGCAAGGAAATGCGGCTCAGGGACACTCACCCATGCTCTGTATTTTTCTGTGATGTTGTTTATTTTTTTGTAACTTGTATCTTATTTTATTATAATTTGCTGTATGGGCTTGGCCTCATGTAAGCTGCCCCAAGTCCCCGTTGAGGAGATGGTGGTGGGGTATAAATAAAAATAGTAATAATAATAATAATTATTATTATTATTATAAAGAGTGTTCTGCACTCATAACAAATAGCATTTATTCATTCATTTCTAAAAAGCACCGATGGGTTTGTTCCCAGCCCCCCTCGAAGCTGAGAACGGCTGAAAGAAGTAATTTGCTATATGCCAGAGGCTGCCAGAAATATTAAAAACCAACTAGGTATTACAAAACTGAGTGTCAAGCACTGAAATGGATGCAATGGCCTAGCAAAAGTTGCAGTTCTATAGAAGCAGGTGTGCCTGTAGCTTAGTAGCAGTCAGTTTGAGGTAAACCTCAGTGGGAGAAAGGTTTCAGTCTGTGAGGTAGACCTAATAGTGTGAGGTAGGCCTTAGTCTATGAGAAGGTTGAATGTGAGAAGGCCTGCTGCAAGAAGTTTTGGTGAAAGAAGCCCCAGGTCTCGTGTGTAAATCTCCAACATAAAGGCTGCTGTGTAAAAAGCTACTGTGTGAAGCTCCAGTATAAGTATGTTGTGAGATGTGGTCACAAAGGTAGGCGGGGTTTTTAAAAATCATTTTATCTTATGCATTCGGCCTGCCCTTTGTGTTTGACTTCATTGTGTTATTTTGCACTGCTTATTTTATTTTGTTACTTTATGTATTTTGTTGTGATGTAACTTTTCTGTTGTTTTGCATTTTATTTTGCTGCATTCTATGTTTCAAGCTTGGCCTCATATTAGCCGCCCCGAGTCCCCTTTGGGGAGATGGTGGTGGGGTATAAATAAGGATGATGATGATGATGATTATTTATTGTGAGAGGAGGCTCTGTGAGAGCGAAGCTGTTTATCTGCATGAGGAGGAAGTCCAGCATGGAAGCAATGAAGGACTTTTTTTGTGTTGTGGAAACCTTGTTATTGTAAATAATGCAACCATATTATTTTGCTATAAAGAAAAGCCTCCTATGGAAGAGAGAGCACTGGTCTGTGTGGTTTTGTTCTTTGGGGTCCTGGTGCTGGGTCACACTGCTGCTTGTAAGTTACTGTGCATTTCTGAGGAGGGTCTTTGGTTAATAAGCCCACTCACCCAACAGAGGCGACTATAGCCTCCTGAGAAGGGAGGAAGCAAGGGAATGCGGCTCAGGGACACTCACCCAGACCTTCTTTTTCTTGGTGGGCTTTGTGGGGTAGTTTGGTCCCAGGCACTCCGGGTGATAGCTGTTTCGGCACTTGTTGCACTCCAGAAGTTGCTGCAGAAAGTAACGGAGGTGAACGTCACCCGACTGGGCCAAGAGCCAAATCTCTGGTGCCAGCCAAGGCATCTCACACCACCAAGAAACAGGGAGCCTCCCAAACACCCCATTCCCAGAAGCCCCCCAGGAAGCCCTGCCACTACCTTGGTGGCCTGGTGCTGCCTCCCACAGACGTGACAGAACTTGCAGCGGCGGCAGCACCAGTTCTCCAGCTGGTCCTCCAAGGGCCGCTCGCTGTCCTCCAAACAGAACTTGTGAAAGGGCTCACAACACACCTGGCAATACACAAACTGCAGGCCAAAGGGGGGGGGGGGTCAGCGGGTCAGCTGCATACACAGGCTTCCCTTTAGCCTCAGAGCCACTTCTGTCAGCATCTAACCCAGCTCCCCCAGACCGAAGAGCCAGGCAAAGTGCCCTGAGAGTCTTCACAAAGGGCTCCAACCTCCTTTGAAGCTCATAAGCCTGACATGATCCCCTCTGGAAGTGGGCGGTCAGCGGGACTCTTACCTCCACATGCCCACTGCTGGCACACAGGAAGCAGACCACCCGAGGCGTGATGGGGACAGAGGTCAGGATGCTCAAGCCGCCCATTTCCCAAATGCTCTCAACCTCACAGTCCTCCTAAGGGAAAGCAAGGCACAGCCACTATGAGAAGAAGAAGGGGAGAAGAGGCCCCACGGCAAAGGCCCAGCGGATGTCTCCCCCAGATGTGTTACCTTGAAGTCCACTCGGATGGTGTGGACGCGGTCGGCCAGGGGCTTCTGCTTCGAGATGCTGCCGCTGGGCAAAGCGCTCAGGGCGCCGCTGGGGATGGTGCTTTCTGGCCGGGCGGCTGGCGGAGGAGGCTTTTCCTGGAGGGAAGGTCAAGAGAGAGAGAGAGAGGTCAGCCCGCCTGCCATTGGTTCATTTCAGGTCAAAGCAGAACGGCAGCTCACCTTTTCCTTCGGCTTCTGTTTTGCCGGTAAAGTTGGACGAGGAGTGATTTTCTTCTGTTTGCTTTGCTCTGCGGCTACAAAGGGAAGGGGGAGAACAGCGGGTTACAAGCAAAGTTCAGGGGAACGAGATCCAAGGAAGCCAAGCAAGCACGGCTCTGTTTTGGATGGCTGCCCACTTGTGCCCACTGCCCGCCAGGCAGAGAGTGCGACACCAGCCGTCTCTTCCCAGCTTTGAGATGGTAGAACAGAAGCTCTCCGAAGCTCTAGGTGCTCTTACTGCCTACTACAGGGAAAACCAGCCGATCCCTAACCCATCTAAAACACAGACATGTGCCTTTCACCTTAAGAACAGACAAGCATCCCGAGCTCTGAGGATTATGACCTGGGAAGGAATCCCACTGGAGCATTGCAGCGCACCCAAATCCCTGGGAGTCACTCTGGACCGTGCTCTGACCTACAAGAAGCATTGCCTGAACATCAAGCAAAAAGTGGGCGCTAGAAACAATATCATATGAAAGCTGACTGGCACAACCTGGGGATCACAACCAGACACAGTGAAGACATCTGCCCTTGCGCTATGCTACTCTGCTGCTGAGTATGCATGCCCAGTGTGGAACACATCTCACCACACTAAAACAGTGGATGTGGCTCTTAATGAGACATGTCACATTATCACGGAGTGCCTGCACCTGACACCACTGGAGAAACTACACTGTCTAGCCGGTTTTGCACCACCTGACATCCGCCGGGAAGTAGCAGCCAATAGTGAAAGGACCAAGGCAGAGACATCTCCAGCTCATCCCCTGTTTGGGTATCAGCCAGCACGTCAATGACTTAAATCTAGACATAGTTTTTTAAGATCTACAGAGACACTCGCTGAAACACCTCAGCAAGCGAGAGTCCAAAAGTGGCAGGCTCAAACTCCGAACATGATACCAAATGAGAGACTCCCTCCTGGGCACACAGAAGACTGGGCAACTTGGAAGGCGCTGAACAGACTGCGCTCTGGCACCTACTACAGGGAAAACCAGCTGATTCCTAATCCATCTAAAACACAGACGTGCCTTTTACCTTAAGAACAGACAAGCATCCCAAGATCTGAGGATTATTATCTGGGAAGGAAGGAATCCCACTGGAGAATTGCAGCGCACCCAAATACCTGGGAGTCACTCTGGACCGTGCAGAGCTGCAGAGCCAACCTCAAGAAATGGAGCCACAAAGTGGAGTCCACGACATGCGAGTGTGGAGAAGAGCAAACCCCTGACCACCTGCTGCAATGCAACCTGAGCCTTGCCACATGCACAAGGGAGGACTTTCTTGCGGCAACACCAGAGGCACTCCAAGGAGCCAGATACTGGTCAAAGGACATTTAATCAACTACCAAGTTTGCAAAATTTGTCTTTTTTCACCTGTTTGTTTGTTTTGTTCTGTTAGAAATGTAATACAAATGTCTGGTTGCCCCTGACACGATAAATAAATAAAATCTTCCCAGTTCGGATCCCTGCGCCCTGGCCAGACTGGCAGGAAGGCCTTACCTGCGTCTTGCGGTGGGGCGGCCTTCTTCTTGGGCTCCGCAGGGACCACAGCTTTGGGGGCTTCCTTCTTCGGTGGGGCTAGGGCTGGGGCGAGGGCCCCCGGAGCGGAGGGTGCCGCTTGCTTGCCAGACTTCCTGGTGACAGGAGGCGGGGCCGGCTTGGGGTCCGGGAGGGTTGGGGGCGGCCCCTCCTCGCCCTTCTCCTCGGTGGGCTTCCGGGCGGCAGGTTCGCTGGCCCTCCTGGGGGCCGGCGGGCCCTCTTTCGGCAGTGGGGGCGGAGCGGGGGCCGCTTTCTGCCCAGGCTCCGACTGGCCCTTCCCCGCCTGGCTCTCCTTCTTCTCACCGGGCCTGGGCTTCTTCTCCTTCCTCTTGGCGGCTGCAAGGCAAGGAGGCGGCTCAGGTGAAATTGATAGGTAAGAGCAGTGGTTCTCAACCTTCCTAATGCCCCAACCCCTTCGCACAGTCCCTCATGTTGTGGTGAACTCCCCAATCGTAAAATTACTTTCGTTGCTACTTCATAACTGCAATTTTGCTACTGTTATGATTCGTAATGTACATATTCGAAGAGGGACGCTCCACCCCAAGTTATGAATTGTATACATCCTACATCAGTGGTTCTCAACCTGGGGTCCCCAGAAGTTTATGGCCTACAACTCCCAGAAATCCCAGCCTGTTTACCAGCTGTTAGGATTTCTGGGAGTTGAAGGCCAAAAACATCTGGGGACCCCAGGTTGAGAACCACTGCCCTACATATTCGATATGCAGGATGTATTCTCATGCACTGCACAAAAACACCCGACACTCCCAAATCTGAATACTGGTGGGGTTGGGAGGGTTGATTTTGTCATTTGGGAGTTGTAGTTGCTGAGATTTATAGTTCATCAACAATCAAAGAGCATTCTGAACTCCACCAATGATGGAATTGAACCAAACATGGCACACAAAACTCCCATGACCAACATGGGCATTGACCTTGGGTTTGGGAGTTGTAGTTCACCTACAGCCAGAGAGCACTGTGGACTCAAACAATGAAAGATCCAGTCCAAACTTGGCATGAATATTCCATATGCCCAAATATGCACACAGATGGAGCTTGGGGGAAATAGATCTTGACATCTGGGAGTTGTAGTTGCTGGGATTTATAGTTCACCTACAATCAAAGAGCATTCTGAACTCCACCAATGATGGAATTGAAACCAACATGGCACACACAGGACTCCCATGACCAACATGGGCATTGGCCTTGGGTTTGGGAGTTGTAGTTCACCTACAGCCAGAGAGCACTGTGGACTCAAACAATGAAAGATCCAGTCCAAACTTGGCACGAACATGCACACAGATGGAGTTTGGGGAAAATAGATCTTGACATTGGGAGTTGCTGTTGCTGGGATTTATAGTTCACTTACAATCAAAGACCCTCTTGAACCCCACCAATGATAGAAATATAGGCCAAACTCCCCACACAGAACCCCCATGACCATCAGAGGTCAACCCTTCTGTTTAAGGAGCTCCACTGGCTGCCGTTTATTTTCCGAGCCCAATTTAAGGTGCAGGTGCTTACCTACAAAGCCCTGAACGGTTTGGGACCACCCTACCTGCGTGACCGTACCGTTGTCTACGAACTCACACGTTCACTCCGGTCATCTGGAGAGACCCTGCTCGTGATCCCGCCCACGTCACAAGCGCGCTTGGTGGGGACACGAGACAGAGCCTTCTCTGTGGTGGCCCCCCGCCTCTGGAATGCCCTCCCGAAAGACCTCAGACAAGCCCCTACATTGGCAGTCTTCAGAAAGAATTTGAAGACCTGGCTGTTCCAATGTGCCTTCTCAGACTAGAAATCCCCAGTACCAAATCCCAGAAGCACTTTAATCAGAACCAAGATCATTGCACACCGCACACCGCACTTATATTATAACCCCATATTCCTCCGACACATCAGCACTTTTAATCTTGTACCCCTACTCTGGCCGGCTCAATTTTAATAATGTCTTGTTGTACTGCTATTGTTATTGTTTTGCTTAACTGTTTATTTGCTAGGTACTGTATTGCTGTATTGTGTGGGCTTCGGCCTGTTTGTAAGCCGCATCGAATCCCTTGGGAGATGCTAGCGGGGTACAAATAAAGTTATAATAAGAATAATAATATAATAATAATAAAAATACTGGAGGGATTTGGGAGGAATTGACAGTGATTTAGGAGAGATGTAGTTCACCTACCTCCAGAAAGCACTGTGTTCCTATGTGTTTTCTGATGGTCTTTGGCAACCCCTCTGACATCCCTCTCACAACGCCCGAGGGGTCCCAACCCCCAGTTTGAGCATTGCTGGGGAAGGGGGAGCAGTGCCTTCCTTCCCCGGCCTCCACAACAGCAGTCATCCCTACCTTTGGCTTGCTTCTGAAGGTAGGCTTTGGAGGGCATCCACTGCAGGTTCTGACACTTCCTCATCCTGGGAAGGAAGGAAGGAAGGAAGGAAGGAAGGAAGGAAGGAAGGAAGGAGGGAGGTGACTTGGAGCACATGCTGGGGCCTCTCCTAGAACCTTCTGTGTCCTCTCACAGAAACCCCAGGGCCACCAATGAAGGAAGGGGGCCAGCTGTGAAGCACTTGGGGGATGCAAAGCAACTTTGATGGCTGGCAAAGCAGCTCAAGAAAGTCCCCTTCCCAAAGGCCTTTGAGTTTTCTGGTTTGGCGAATTAAAACTCAAACTGGGATGGCTGCAGCTGAACTGCTATTTCCAAATATATTCCGCCCTCCACTCCTCGTAGAAGTAATTCTATCCCAACTTTTTATGCACCTGTCACTTTGTTTACATCACTGATTCTCAAACTGTGGGTCCCCAGATGTTTTGGCCTTCAACTCCCATAAATCCTAACAGAAATCCTGGGATTTCTGGGAGTTGGAGGTCAAAACACCGGGACCCACACACTGAGAACCACTGGGTTACATCCTCAAGATAGGATGCAAGGCGGCTTTTGCAGGAACCTGAGCTGGGCAAAGGCCGAGCCCAGGGAATGGCAAAGGCGTCTATTTTGCAGTCACTGCATCTCCTTTTGCGGGGGTCTCTCATCCTGAGAGACATCTACAGGGAAGGGATGGGTAGGGAAGCCCACCCCTCTCTCACACACACACACACAGGAACTTACTTGCAACACTGCTTCTTTATGTTGCGGCCACCAAACTTTGGCTTGTCCAGGCAGTTTGTGCAGACGCCGCAGTCCTCGGGCACCTGGCACCCCGGACACTGCCCGCAGCGCCTTGAGCGCCTGCCCTTTTTCACGGGGGGCTCCTGGGGGGCCTTGTTCCTGGTGACTGGTTTGATGGGCTTGATGGGCGGCGCGAGGGGCTCGGCCTCTTCGGAACCAGCAATGGAGGACTTGTCTGCCCAAAGAAAGGCCCACCGCGATTCAGCCCCTGGGACTGGAGTGGTGAGTGGCCCTCAACCTCCAGCTCCTGCCCCTCATGCCCCACTGCTTCCTTACCGTCGTTCCCCATGGAAGACAGAATCTTCTCCCGCTCCTCCCACGGCAAGGCACTCAGGGTGGGCATGTCGTCCGGGAAGACCGCTCGCTTGCGGCCCAGCGCGACAGCCGCCCTCCTGCAGACGTGCTTGATGCGCGGCCCTCGCACGGAGGTCTCCGAGGAGTCGCTCTCCTGGCCCTGGGAGCAAAGGACAGGCAGTGGTCAGAAGGGGCCCTCCATTGACTCTCTTGGCCCCCTCTCCTCCCTGGCCAGCTCTGCTTCCAAGCCCTCTTTGGGGCCAATACCTTGGGCTGCTCGGCTTGCTTGAGGGACTTGCTCTTCTCGATCTTGTACAGCTGGGCTTTGGCTTTCTTCAGGAGGCTGGCCACCCTCTTGTCCGTCACGGGGATTTTGTCCGCGTGCGCCAACACGGAGCTGATGGAGGCGTGTTTCACGAGGCCGGCGGAGGCGGAGGAGAGGCGCAGGGACTCCTCCTTCTCGGCCAACGTAGCCGCTAGGCTGAGGTCCAGGCCGGGCTTCTCTAAGGCCCCTCGGCCCTTCTTGGGCGCTTTGCTCTTGGCCACGGCAGAGGCGGAGTCCACCAGAACCACGGCGGGAGCGTCTGCTGCCAAATCGGGGGCTGCTGGGGCCGCCTTTTTCCGCCCCACGGGCCTCTTTGCGGAAGAGGAGACAACCACTTCTTCATGGACGGTGGGCTTTCCCTTGGCCACACGCGCCAGCGGGAACAGAGCTGAGCCGCCCTGGGTCTCTGGGGCCTTCTTCCTCTTCTCCTTCCGGGACTCCCGCTTGTTCTCTTTCTCCCTCTCTCGGTCTCTCTCTCGGCTCCTCTCCTTCTCCAGACCTCGCTCACCGTCTTTATCTTTGGATGGATCACTGATGGTTTTGTCCTTGTTCTTTCCCCTCTCGGTCTGGGAAACCGGGGTGAACCACGGGAAGAGGGGAGCGGAGCTGCCGGAGAACGGCTCGGAGGAGGCGCCCGCCTGCTTCCGCGGCCGCTGGCTCTTCTCGGCTGGCTCTCCCGGCTGCGAGAGCGAATGGGAAGGGAACGCGAAGGTGGAGTTTAAGGCACTGGTGGCGAGGGACCCCACGGAGATGTTCGTCAACGAGGAAGAAGAGGACGAAGGAGGGAGAGAGGACAGCTCCGAGGCGCTGAGCCGCCCGCTCCTCGTCCTCATGGAGTGCGACGGAGACCGGGGTTCGGACCGAATGGGGCTGAAGACCCTCCGCTTCCGCCTCCTTGAAGAGCCGGCCACCACCCCGCCTCCGGACACACTGCGGCCAACGGAGGAAGGCAAGGTCACAGACTCGAAGATGCGGGAATGGGCCTCGCTGGGGGTGAAGCGGGGGGCGCGGAGGAGGGGGCTCCTCTTGTGCAGGTCGAACCGGGATCCGGAATGAAGGGGGGAGAACAAGTGGGCCGGGGCTGCTGCTCCGGAGAAGCCGGAGGCAAAGCCGACGTCCTCGGGAGTCAGCGGCGGAGGCCGGAAGTTGTCGAAGATGGGCTTGCGGATGAGGCCTTCTTTGGCATACTTGGCTGAGGAGAAGTACTGGGGCTCGGCCCGCGAGTGCTTCAGGGAGGTCCAGCGGAAGGTGGGCTCCCGCAGGATGGACTTCCGCTTCTCGTGCATGGAGCCGGAGACAGCGCCGGGGGGCAGGAAGGCGGGGGCCAAGGGGATGGTGGGGGGCATGAGCCACGGGGGGGCGTGGTCCGAGAGGCCGGCCGGGGGCTGGAGGGGCGGGGGAGGGGAGAGGAGCGGTGGGGGAGGGGAGGATGAGGACGAGGGGGGCTGTGAGGGTGGCAATGGAGGAGGGGGCTGCTGCGGAGGAGGCTGCTGCTGCGAGGGCACCATGCCTTGGAGACCGGGCAGCTTCTTGCCCGCTTTGGGTCCGAAGCCCCCTTCGGCCAGGGAGAACCTCCTCCTCCGCCTCCGCCGCCGCCTCCTCTCCCCGCTCTCGTTCTCCGGGGAAGGGGAGACAGGCAGCGAGGGCTGGGTCTCTTCCGGAGTGTGGCCCCCGTCTTCGGACGGGGCCCCTTGCGCCTCCTCGGAGGCCTGGGAGTCGGAGGAGGTGTCCACGCTGGGACTGCTGGAGCGCGAGGAGGACCCTGAGGAGCCCTGGGAGGAGTGCTGGGAGGCGCCGCTGGACTTCTCGCTGGACTCGCAGGACGTGGCGCTGAAGCGGCTGTTCGGCGTGGACTCCAGGCGCGCAATCTTGATGGGCGGGTCGTAGTCCTCGTCCTCGATGAAGCGCTTGGGGGTCTTGATGATGCGCGAGGAGATGGCGCTCACCACCGGCATGATGAACTGCCGGATGTTCTTCAGCTGGGTCCGGCCCTTGCGTCCCTGGAGCTTGGCCGCCTCCTTCTCGATCTTCTTCTGGGCCCCCTTCTTGGCCCGCTGCAGGAGCTGCTTGGCAATGGCGGCATCCGTCCGCTTGGAGGAGGGGATGATCCTCACTGGGCGGCGGGGGCTCTGCCGGACGGCCTTCTCGTTCTTGGGCAGCGGGAGAGGCTCCTCCTTCTCCTTCCGTGCCCGCTGGCCCTTCTCCAGTGGGGAGCCTGTCTCGAGGGCCACCGTTGGAGCTTTCGGGGCCCTCTCAGAAGAGGGCGGCCTTCCCCTCCGCCGCACAATTTGGACCCCTTTCCTCCCAATCTGCAGCTTTCCGGCTTTGAACTGAGACTTCAACGGGGAGAGTTTGCCTGCCCTCAGCTTCTTGATTTTCGCCGCGTGGTGGAATGCCGCGGATGGGGTCCGCTTGATTTTCTTCAGGTTCTCTTTCTCTTCGTGGTCTCCCTTCAGTGCCTCTGGGAGCCCTTCTTTGTGAGAGAGCTTGAACTTCACGCTGGTGAGGGCCGGGGGCCTCCCTCGCCGCTTTTCAGCGCCTTTCAGCTCCTTTTTTGCTTTCTCCGTCAAGGTGGGCTCTGGTTTGCTCAAAGGCGAGTATGCCGGCAAAGGCTCTGGCAGCGCAACGGAATTGCGATCAGAGGTGCTCCGGGGCCTCCCTCGAGGTTTGCGTGCGCCGGCCTTGGCTGCAATTGCAGAAAGGAATAAAAAGAGGAAAAATACTTGTTTATGCATTCATTGGAAATAGTGGCTGGCAGAGCAGTAGCTATATGTGAAGGTGGCAACATGGCAGGAGGCAAAACGTACCTGTGGGAGACTTGGCAGGACTCTGCCCTTTGGCTTCATCGTCTGATCCAAAGCCTAGGAACTGCTCATCCTGCAAAGAGAGAGCAAGGCGGCCCAAAGTTAAATTGGATGAGAAAGTAAAGCACGGGCTGGAAAATCTGACAGCTGTACACAAATTAGGGGAAGTTGGAGGGGCTAAGTTATTTATTATTTGTATGTACTACATTTATATACCGTTTTCTACCCCCTGAGGGAACTCAAAGCAGTTTCCAACATAATAAAGGCAAAATTCAATGCCATATATACAAGTATACATGTGAAAACCAAAACGTAATAGCTAATGACATCTCTATAAATAGAAATATAATGTTCGTTTGTGGGATTAACAGAACTCAAAAACCACTGGGAAAATTGACACCAAATTTGAACACAATACACCTATCAGGCCAACGAGTGACCATCACTCATAAAAACACTGGAAAACAGTGGAAGAGACTTAAAAATCCAAAATAAAAAATAAAAAATACATTACAATGCATGCACAAAAACACAAACACATATAGGTAAAGGTTTCCCCCCAACATTAAGTCCAGTTGTGTCCGACTGGGTTGTGGTGCTCATTTCCATTTCTAAGCCGAAGAGCCACCGTTGTCCATAGACACCTCCAAGGTCATGTTGTTGTGAGTCAGCATTCTGACACCATACCTACTACTAGTAGTAGTAGGAGAAGAAGAAGGAGTGATGCAGAAACAGAGGCTGGTCACGACACATGTGGCCAGCGTGACTGCATGGAGCGTCATTATACAAATACACACACACTTATATACACATATACCCAATATATACATACACACATAAACACACAACACACATATACACAGACTGGGCCACAGCAACGCGTGGCAGGGGAAGGCTAGTATAATTATAAATTAAAAACTTAACCAAATTAAAACATAAAATAACATTTAGACATAAAACATAAAAATTAAAACATCAATAATACAATAACATTTATATTAAAACCCACCCGTAAATGACACGACTTAAAAGTTATTAAAATCACGACATCCAAAGTCAAATTCGTAGTCGTTCCATTGGTCCGTTCACTATTCCTTATTCTCTTATTGCACAAAGAACTTTGCTGTCCGAAAGCTTGGTCGCATAACCACAACGTTTTTACTTTCTTCCTGAAGGTCAGGAGGGAGGGGGCTGCTCTAATTTCACTAAAGAGGGAGTTCTATAGCCGAGGGACCACCACTGAGAAGGCTCTATTTCTCGCTCCCACCAGTTGTGTTTGTGAGGGGAGTGGGACCGAGAGCAGGGCCTCCCCGATGATCTTAGCTTCAAAGGTGGATCATAGAGGGAGATACATTCTGACAGGTAAGCTGCGCCGAAACTCTTTAGGGCAATAGTTCCCAACCTTTATTTGTCCAGAGACCACTCTCCAACATTAGTACCAAAAGGGTTACCAATCAGTTTTTGGTCAACTTCAGATTCGGTTTAGTTATTTGGGGTGCCGATTCAGAACACTGAATTGGATAGACCACATCAGCTCTAGTTTCTGATACAGAACACATGTATAGTTGATATCTCCTCGACTACAGAAAACCATATTAAATAATCTAGAGCTGATGTAACATTAGTAATCTTTCATGGGTAGTCAGCCTCTCCCCTCTTGACATCCCTGTTGCCTTGGCACTAGAAGAGGGTTTCACGAGACCAGTCACTCTTGTTGCAACGGTGTAGTAATGGTGGGGCTGCGGACCCTATTTTTGTTCTGGTGGTCCATGGATCACAGGTTGGGAACCACTAGTTGAGGGCTTTCTAGGGTAAAGAGAGCAGATTGAATTACAGGGTCAAGGGACCCCCAAGTGCAAGGTCCCCTCTGGAGAGCCCACTGGGCCAAATCCAAGTGCCACAGAGGAAATGAGAAAACTCCCCCATGAAGAAGCCCCAGAGGGCCTACTGCTTGCTAAGAGCACACAGCTGCACAGGGGCAACGGCCCATTCAGGGTCGTTCATACAACAACATCACACAATGTAGCAGGGCCCCAAATTGCAAGATTTATTCTGGTTGGAGGAGGGCCCAGCCAAGAAGCCCCTCTGCCCCACAATCCCTGGGGCAAAAAGAAGAGAGGGGGTGGCAGGAGCAGAAGGAGGCTGCCCCACGGCAGATGCAGAAGAAGCCCCTGACTCTGCTGGTGCGCAGCACAAATGGGGTGCGCACCACTGGAGGAAGACCCCAACAAGCAATAGCCTTGTAGAGAATGGACAAATGTCAGCATGCTGGAAGAAGCAAAGACCACCAGCACTGAAGAGATGCTCCTCCGCCATCAACTCCGCTGGACCGGCCACGTTGTCTGGATGCCCGACCACCGTCTCCCAAAGCAGTTGCTCTACTCCGAACTCAAGAATGGAAAGCAGAATGTTGGAGGACAGGAAAAGAGATTTAAAGATGGGTTCAAAGCCAACCTTAAAAACTCTGGCATAGACACTGAGAACTGGGAAGCCCTGATCCTTGAGTGCTCCGGCTGGAGGTCAGCTGTGACCAGCAGTGCTGCAGAATTTAAAGAGGCACGAATGGAAGGTGAAAGAGAGTAAAGTGCCAAGAGGAAGGCGCGTCAAGCCAACCCCGACCGGGACCGCCTTCCACCTGGAAAGCGATGCCCTCACTGCAGAAGGGAGAAGATGCATGTCAAGAATAGGGCTCCACCATCACCTACGGACCCACCGACAGGACACTACACTTGGAGGACCATCATCCTCGGACTACAAGGGATCGCCTAAGTAAGTAAAGTAAGTAAGAGAATGGATATTTGCAAGTGCTGCCTCCAATATATGAGGCCATTGTCCTGATGTAATCGGTTTGAATGTTCTTTTCCCCTTTTGGCATTGAATGTTTACGATACGTGTTGGAAATCGCCCTGACAGGAGGTGGGTGGTCTACAAATAAAGTGTTGTAGTAGTAGTAGTTGTAGCTGAGCAAATAGCTGACTGAAATGGGCTGGGTGTTGTTTTGTGGGGGTATACATGGAAAAATACTTGAGCAAAAACTATTTATTTTGGGGAAAAGGTTCCGTGCTGAGGGCCACAGAGAGGCAAGAGTCAGAGCTGGCAGAGCAGCACGGAGGAAGACCTTCCTTTCTTCAACCTTCATAACCATCTGGAAGTCCCTGAGGAGGGAGCCGTGAGATGACTTATTTGTCATTGTGATGTCAAGAAGTAGCCCACTGTCTGTCCCGTGATGGGTCTAGAGAGGAAGCGCAGAGAGTCTGCAAAGCCACCTCACAGAAGATAAACTCAGCTGTGGGCTCTGTGTCCAAGCTGGAACTAGACAGGCGGAAGGAGGAAGAAAGCTGTGGAAGAGTGTGACTCTAGGACAGGGGTCCTCAAACTTTTTAAACTGGGGGCCAGTTCACTGTCCCTCAGACTGTTGGAGGGCCGGACGATAGGTTTTTTTTTTTTTTTTTAAAAAAACCAATTAAAAATGCCTATGCACATTGAACATATCTTATTTGGCTGTGTGGAAGGGTTCTTTCTAGCCCTCTTTAGGCAGAAATTCCAGGAGCAGAGAATGGGAAATCTTCCTATTTCTAGTCTGAACAAAATCTGGCTACCAGTATTTAAAAAAACCTCTAAAATTATAACTGTAAATAAAGAACAACACTCAAACACAGGGGAGCTCCAGACAAGGAACCAATCAGGGCCAGCTAATCACCTCTCAACAAAGGATTCTCCCTAAAAACTGTCAGTCTATGAAATGGTAATCAAGGTGGCCAATTGAAACATTCATACCTACCTCCAACAGACAAGAGTTCTTTCTCCCACCCTGGATTCTTCCACAATTTTCCTAGTTAAAGGTTTTCCTCTGACATGAAGTCCAGTCGTGTCTGACTCTGGGGTGTGGTGCTCATCTGCATTTCTAAGTCGAAGAGCCGGCGTTGTCCGTAGACACCTCCAAGGTCATGTGGCCGGCATGACTGCATGGAGCACCGGGGCAGCCTCCCTTGGCTGGTTCATGCTGCCCATCGGACCCGATGGGCAGCGTAAGCCTGCCAAGGGAGGAGCAGCCCTGCGCAGCCTACTCGCGTGTAAAGCACCTTGCGAGGTACTTTATGCGCAAGTAGGCCATGCGGAGCAGATGCCCTTGGCTGGCTCACGCTGCCCATCGGGCCTGACGGATAGTGTGAGCCAGCCAAGGAAGGGGCACTGTGTGTGTGTGGGGGGGGGGCGCTCCTCCTCCGTGGGCCGGATAAGTGGCCTTGGTGGGCCGGAAGTGGCCCGCAGGCCGTAGTTTGGGGACCCCTGCTCTAGGGGCTGGCTTTACACACAAGAGGCCAGCAGTAGCACCACGTTTGCCTTGGCCCTCCTCCTCCTCCTTTTTCTGATTTCTCCTATCTTTCCCTGTCAGTCACTTGTCTTGGACAGACAAGTGGGGCTCTCTGCCGGAGGTAAAGAGGGAGCGAGGAAGGACGGATCTAAGGCTGGCTGGATGGGGCAGCAATCCAGTCATCAGTCAGTTGGGAGATCAGCAAAGTGCAAGAGTGGCCTCCACAACTCTGTTCTGGAGTAGAAAAGGTTTCCATTAGCGAGGAAAGCCTTGCTCCTCACAGGGCAAGTCCCACTTCCTAGAAAGCCATGCACGCTAAAGCCAGGGGTCCTGGAAGAAAGTGCATGGAGGACCAAGCAGGCGGGAAAGGCCAAGCTGGGCACTAGTCAGCTCCCAGGGCAACGGTCCATCCTGCTCAAAGGCCATAAACCCCAACACTTCAACAGCCCTTGAACTTGGTAGCACCTCCTTAACTTTTGGAGACCCAGCTTAAGAAGGACAGAGAGACATCCCACAATTCACCAAGACCAGAAGTGGACTGCACCTTCCATAAGGTGCCCTGCCACTGCTTTGGGTGCATCGAATAAATATCACAAGTCGGTGGTCTCCCTTCTGTCTCCCTGATACAGGTTCAAGAGCATTCCCGGTGGCTTGGAGGACTCCTTTGGCACAGGCCTGTGTCATTCTACCATTCACACTGGGAAAACACTACCCAAGACCCACCACGGGGATCTTGGTGGGTCATGTCAGGAACAACTTGA